GAGATTGAAAAATTCTCTACTGAACCACGAAAACCAGTTTCCCATAATTTTATGCGGTAAACATATTTTTACAAAACTCATCATTAAACACGAACATCTGAAACATTTACATGCTGGGACACAAAATTTATTATCAATAATTCGTTTAAAATATTGGCCCATTCATGGAAAAAATGCAGTGAAGGGTGTAATCAGGTCCTGCATACGATGTTTTAGGCCGGGCCGGATCAAGGCAAAAGTTACGTGCAAACAAGCACTAAATTTGCACCTCTGCCCGCCTCTCTAAAGCCTGAATGATGGGAACTTTTGACAAGCATGTTTTTAAAAATGAAAAAAGTTTTCGCCTTAAGGCGTGTAACGGTAGCGCATTTTCCATGAATTTATGAGTACTTACGGACATGTCGTACAACGAACTGTGTGTGTGTACAAAGAAAAATAAGTTACGGCATAAATATTCTTATAAATAAGAAACTTAAGATTGCGTAGTCTGCGCATGCACACACCTGATGAATAAAGTATGCGATATGTTTGTCTTTACTAGAAGGATCTCTGGTTAAAATTTTAAAAAAATCTCTATAAATAAGAAAGTTGGCATTGCGTAGTTTGCACATGCGCACATCTGATTTTTACAATATGCGATATGCTTGTCTTTACTAGAAGCATCTGTGGTTAAAATTTTAAAGAAATATCTCCATAGATAAGAAAATTGACATCGCGCCGTTTGAGCAAGCGCACATTAATTGTCACGATTTTTCTTGGTTGAGGTGCCAGAGCTATTAGCTACCGAATGCAAAAAGAACGAATCACACATATCTTGAAAACTGTAGAAGTAGTTAGGACCTCGGACGGACAGGCGGACGAAAAAAGTGAACATGAGTTGGAATATGCCCTAAAAATACAGGTTGTTAATTAATGTCATGCAGAATGCAGATATTGCAGGGGGCGGTAGCACTCGTCAAAATAAGAAAAAAAAACCGCAAATATGTGCGTGGTCTAAAGGACAGGGTGGCAAAGTTTCAATTTTGTTCTCGTATTTTGCGTTTTCTCTCTAATGTTGTGGGATAACTGTTTAAAATTTAATGGACCAATTATTTTTTAGAATCTCTAAAATAAAGTATCAAAATAGTTGGTCGCATATATAGGGTGTTGCATTTTCTTTGACACTCGGTGTAACCAAAACGACGGCTTTTAGGGCATGCATATATTTGCATTTTTTTTCTTATTTTCCCGAGTGCTACCACCCCCTGAAATATCTACATGAAATTAATTAACACCCTATACAGAGGTTCATGTGTCCTCCCATTTTTCTGAAAAGCAAAATTGTACAAAAATGCTACAGAGTTTTCCGAAGGGATAACGCGTCTGCTATTTATGAATATGCTTCCCTGTACGGATTTTTGCGTCTGTGATCCGTCAGTCATTAAACATGATAATTTTTGCCGACAGAAAAGATATATGTACTTAGTTAATCTGATTCCTCTTATGTGATCAGTTTTAAAAGCTAATAAAGTGCTAATAACAAACCCCCCACCTAAAATAATTTGAGAATTCCATCGGCATGTTCATATTATGACCATACATACAGAGCTGGGCAGATTTGATTTTGTAAATACTTTTTAGTATTCAAATCCTTTAAAGTATTCAAATACTTTGTAGGTAATTAAATACTTTTATGGAAGCAGTATTTGTATTTGTAACTCAAATACTTTCACAAATATTTAGTATTCGAATACTTCGCATAGTATTTGAATACTTAACCTTCCTTTTTTACCAAAAATCGACTACTCCAAAATTTCTCGGGAAAACATTTTTTCTTATTAATTTTGGTGCGTAGAATCCAAAACAATTCGTACTTTTTCGATTAGACTTCTCAATCAAAAGTTATGGACTAGAAACCAATTTCGGATTAAAATTCAAATGGCTGTAACTTTTGAAGCCCAATCTTGGAACTGTTTCAAATTATGGATTCTACAGGCCACATTCTATAAGAAACATTTTTTTTCGGGTCGATCTGAAACAATTTTCTTTTCGGGCCTCAAAAAAAGGCAGTGTATAATCTTCCTTTTTTACCAAAAATCGACTACACCAAAATTTCTCGGGAAAACACTTTTTCTTATTAATTTTGGTGCGTAGAATCCAAAACAATTCGTACGTTTTCGATTAGACCTCTCAATAAAAAGTTATGGACAAAAAACAAATTTCGAAAAAAAATTCAAAGGGCTGTAACTTTTGATCTAGTAGCCCAATCTTCAAACTGTTTGAAATTATGGATTCTACGGGCCAAATTCTATAAGAAAATGTTTTTCCCCGGTGGATCTCAGACAATTTTTTTCCGGCCTCAAAAAAGGAAGTACTTTTATGTTATTCAAATATTTGAGAACAATTTAGAAATGTTTAGGGAAAGTTTCCATTGTCACAAAATCAAATATAAAAATCCGATACAAATGAATACCGAACGATCCTGGAGTGAAACTTTTTGACTCGATAGTCTACGTAACTTAAAAACAACCTTTCTTATATCCTTAAGACCATGTGTACCAATTTTCAAAGCGATCGCACGTTTCTAAACAAGTTATCATGCACACGGACAAACGGATGGTCAAAAATGGATCTGTTCCAAAATCGGTAGGATTAATTTCAGAAAGGCGTACGCTTTTACTCCCCTTAAATTTGTATATAACAATAGAAATATAAAAAAAGCTAACCCCATACAAAGTATAACTTGATTTTTTAAGTAGTATTAAGACTTTTATCTAGTAGACTATTTTAAATTTTTAATGTATTTGAGTGACAAGTATTTGAATACTTTTTATAGTATTCGAATACCTTTGATAGTATTACAATACTTTTGGAAGTATTCGAATACATTCTAAAGTATTTGAATACTTATTTTTTAAAGTATTTGAATACTTTTCAATGTATCTGTATCTACTATTCGCTTGTGCTGGACGTAATAGTATTTAGTATTCAAATACCTTTGATTGTAAAGTATTTACTATTTAGTATTCAAATACTTTTTGAAAGTATTCTGCCCAGCTCTGCATGCATGTTATCATTCCAAATGTGTATGTTACATAATTTGCAGATCGCATCGACTGAACAAGTGCCCATATGCCGGCTTGACAGTTGACAAGCGCCGGCATAACCGAGCGCCCACTTGGCAGTTGCCGGTTTGGAATGTTCCGCGGAAATTTCTATTGAACAATCAACCTAACAATTATTGTTTTTCTAAGCTTCCATTGGAAGAATTTGTATTACCTACCCTACCATATTGTTTTTGTATTTCTTTAAAAGCAGATCTTTCAAGGGGGTCGGCGTATGTGCAATTTGCACAAATGTAATCTAGTTTTCATATTAGAGTTTGTTTTAATATAAAAATAAATGTCACAACGTTTCGTCAGTAAAATTCAATATAGTTAATTTAGTTTATCAAAATTGCATATTATTCATCGGAGTGGTCCTTCGACCATCATCAAGACACAACAACAATACAGGTTTGAAAATCGAAAAACACTGTGAACTTAAGAAATGGTTGAATTACAAAAAAATAGGTAGAAGATACATGCCGATACGCTTATACTGTTAGAAAGGAAATAAAATTATACATTTCATGCAATAAAAAAAACTTTGTAGTTCCATTTAAAAAAATCAAATCGTCCATGATTGAAATTTTGAAAATTGACAAAGTGATTTCTTTTAACATAAAAAAAGTTTAACTTTACGGCGTATGTTGGTACATTTCATGATTAGTGATGCTCCCGAGTTACGGCCTTCTCAGTTTTATGGTAACTGCGATATTCAATTTTTACTGGACATCTACTTTTTGAAAAAATGACGAATTTGGGCTAAACGACTCATAAAGTCGCACTAAAATTGACCAAAGAATCAAAATATATGATAATATACAAGGGACTCCGTCGACAATGAATTTTAAACCCACAATCGTCCACCCACACACTAATGGCCCACCTTGTATAGCATATATTCTGCATGTACTTAAAAATGACAACTTCTATAATATTTTTGGATAACTCTAGGCGATCTCGCACGTTCTAAATCACAGTATGTTCTGTATCTACAGGAATTTAGCATGACGTATCACGAAGATGCTAATGATAGGGAAGATCATGATTTGGAGAAGGACAAAATTACCGAAACCTCCATTAAACGGTGTTCCCCTTGGAACAATACTATAACAATAAACGTAGGACGCACAAACTTCCGAGATACCATTTTTTAGTTGCAAATAGCTTGCAGGCGTAATTAAATCTGGCAAAACATTACCAAAGAGGGAATGTCTGAGGATGTGTGGATAATGTTGAGAAAACGAGGTTTATCTTTCCCAGTGTTTGAAGTTAGGAATGTAAACATAGCGCGCATATAATACGTACGTGAGCTGCATGTAGTCACTTTTTAATAAAAAGAAGGCCGCAAGGGTTAAGTGTTATTCTGCCAAACTAACTTTACTACCAGTTTAAGGCTGTTATTAAAAAAAATTCTCAGCCAAAGCTTAATATCCAGCGGAGCCCAATTATTAAATAGAATTTATCTCACGATAATGATTCGATAAATGTTGAATCTGGAAGAGCGCACAAAATGGGGTGGTTGGGTAGTTTTCACTTAGGAAACCTTCGCACTGATCCTTTCCTTATCTCTTATTTCTAATCTGAAATGCATGCCAAATCGTTTTCCTAACCACCTTAAGGGCACGAAGACAAACTTTCTGTAGGAAACAACTTCGTTATATCGCAAAGTACCCAGTGCGCCCATTCCGACGGTTATATCTAATAATGTTAATGCTTTTGACCTTATACAGAAAAGGGCCAGTTTGAGTCGTAATAATCATAATGTACGGAACGTGACGGGGGTTGAAGCATAGAAAAGCAACAGAGTTTCCAGAAATGAGTTAGGGTTATTTATAGTGCATTTTGGGGAGAAAAGCTGCGCGCGCGGGACGTTGAAACTAGGAAAGTGTATTGATCAGAAAACACGCGTGACTAAGATGATCAGATGTAATTTATTTAAGAGCAATGAAGAAATATTTATATTAGTAGCAATATGAGCGAGACCATGTGTAAATGTGATTTATAGTAGAAGGAAAATTAATAAAGGGACTAATGAACCGGAGGGCTGTGAAAGCTCAGGCGCGCGGGCGGGGGAAGCTCTGCTGAGTCTGGGGGCCCCCAGTGTGGCCCACGCAGGCAGGAAGACATGTCGGGCGAACCCGCTTTTCCCGACATCGTGGACCTGAACGTCGGTGGCGTCTATTATACTACTTCTTTACAAACCCTTACAAGAGAGCCGGACTCTCAATTAGGGGTGATATTTACATCGCGCGAACCGGCGACGAAAGATACAAAAGGTCGATATTTTTTGGACCGCGATGGTGTACTATTCCGATACGTGCTAGATTATTTAAGAGATGGTGGTTTAGTGCTTCCCGAGTGTTTCAGAGAACGCGAAAGGTTAAAAAAAGAGGCAGAGAAATATAATCTTCCAGGTTTGGTGGAGGCCGTCGCCGAAGGATCCAGATCGCGACCGCCCGGAATTATAACAGTTGGATATCGTGGCAGCTTCCAGTTTGGTAAAGATGGTTTAGCCGACGTTAAGTTTAGAAAGTTGTCCAGAATTTTAGTATGCGGTCGGGTTGCGTTATGTAGAGATGTCTTTGGGGAAACTTTGAACGAAAGTCGCGACCCCGATCACGGTCAATCTGAACGTTATACTTCCCGTTTCTTCCTTAAACATTCTTTCTTAGAACAAGCTTTTGATATGTTATTAGAGCAAGGCTTCAAAATGGTGGGTAGTTGTGGTTCCGGTACAGCTGGAAGTGCATCCGAATTGAAGCCCGGTGTCGATGCCGAAGAGAGTCGTTGGAATCACTATAATGAATTTGTGTTTGTGCGGGAATAGTGAAATTCGACCAAATTTTTGAATCTACTTTCATATCGCATACTTGCATAATTGCGTAAATTAGGACCTATCGTAAGTAACTATTATCCAAACAAAGATTGTTAAATATTTATCTAAAGAGGCATATATTTATAGTAACAACGGGGATGTATAAATAAATACAGGGGGATTGTGATCGGCACCCGACGAAAAAAGGGCAGTCGAAGTACTTGTTGCTTTCGCGGCAAATCGTCTACAGCATTAAATCAAATCAATAGCCTCGGTTTCGGAAAATCTATTTATACCATCCCCATCTTCTAAAAGAACCAAATACTTGCATAAAATTGTATATAACATAAATGTAACAAAATTATTAAATACGTACGTCATAAACCAATCGACTTGATTATTGAGTGATATTTGGACTATTTACGCTTGCTTACGATTAGTTAACCATATTCAGTAGCGCTTTCCAAAAAAAAAACGCTGTAGGTATACGTATCTACACTTATAACCCACACAATTTCTATTAATAACTTCCATTAAATATTTATTTTGATTTGAAAATGTTAGGTTATTGGATTCATAATTCATCGTAGAATCCTTGAAGTAGCTAAATTAGACTTCGGCATTTAAACAGAAGTAACATTCCTTTTTCGGCGACTACTGAATAGGGTTTTGTAACCACTCTTTCATTAGTATTAATGTGTAAGTAACAAATGCTAATAAAACGTGATAAGCATTAGACTTTGTTGTTTTATATTAACAATAGCTTCTCCAACTATTCAAAACTGTGTGGTAGTTCTATAGATAATGTATTAGAAGACAAGTACCCAAAACGCCTTTGTGTTATACAAAATGTATAGAATTATAAGTGCTAAGGATTAGCTGTTACCAAAACGAATTTAATTAAAATGTACCTAGCATAGGATATCTATCAACTGCTATTGTAATTTATCATAGAAGAAACGACATTTACATATTGTAAACTAAACATATTTGAAATTATAAGTTAAAGAAATAAAAATATGAAACTAATTTCTTGTATTGATTCTATTCGCGTATGTTCCAACAGGTTATAAAAAAAAATGTGTGAGGTGCAAAGGTTTTCAGTTGGATTAGTTATTTTATCCAGACGACAAATTTTGTCTAATCCCCTGCTAATATTAGAAAAAATCAAAAGCGTCACGTCGTCCCGAAAAACTGGAAGGGTGTTCCACATTTTTCACTCTTGATTGGAACGTAAAAATAAAGCAAGAGTAAGATTCCATGTAGTTAGGGAAACATTTCTGAAAAGTGCATGTCGAAAGGCGGATCCACATTGGTAAATATTTGCGTTGTAGGTTGAATTTGACACAAATTTGCTCGTGTGCGTTGGAATTCTTGTCAATGTGGACTGTATTTGTGTATACGTTTTCGTGCGGCGCACAGTCCACATTGACAAAAATTTCGGCGCACACGAGCAAATTTGTGTCAAATTCAACACACAACGCAAATATTTACCAAGGTGGATCCGCTTTAACGGCGTTTTGTGCTACAAACTGACAACAGGCGGTTCTAGACTAATTCAACCCCGCTGAAAACGATGCGCCCTGTTGTAGACCTGATTTAAGCCTCCAAATCCAAGATGGCGGCCGAAATTGCCGTTTTGTCAGTTATTTCGAGCCCCCAAGGCACGCCGCTGAACGTTTTGGGTACTTTACGGGTACAATAACACCTAGTACACTCGACAACACCGTTTAAGTACACTTTGGTATGCAAAATGCCGCTTAATAACCTCAAAAATGCAAAATTCGTCATTTTTCATCCGTTTTTTCTTTCTGGCCTGTTATCGGCGTCCAATATTTATTTCTACGTTAAAATTAACATTTAAATATGTGGGGACCTCCCGCAGCGCCATATGCCAGGGTCCTAAATACCAATATGGGCGCCTGGAAAGTCCAAAAACAGTGAAAAAGTCGTTTTTTTGCCGTATTTTTACTACACTGGACACTCATTCCCCATTTCGGTCGCACGGAGGCGAATTTCCGAACCCCATCCTTATTCAGCGCAACGCTTTACCGAATAGATCCGAACTCATTATTTCACCTTTCCCAACTCAATTCAGAGTGCTGTGCTGAACTTGGTTGGGGTGTGGTACATGATTGCGAGAGCAGATCCAGCAATTTAGTCTAAAAATTGTGTGATTAAGACGCAAATGAGTACATTGGAGATCAGAATAGTTTCAATTAAACATATCTGAACATTAGTTTCATTTAAAAAGACTTGCCTGTTAAAACTTTTATAAAGAGTTTCGAAACCCCATCTAAGCGAATTCCCGAACTCCATCCTTTACGTACATCGACATTCATTTGAGTTCCGAAACCCCATCTAATTCAGCAGGACACGCTCAATCGAATTGGAAAACGTAAACTATGGCATAGATAGGTAAAGGCCGTGACCCGTGAGTTTGTAGGTGTTCGGCTCTATTCGCCGAAGCGGTGCGCTGAATAAAGATGGGGTTCCGAAATTCGCGGCCCAGAGCAATAATATGCGAATTGTGACTACCAATCTGGATGTTACACATCCTGAAGGGCTTAACTGCGAACGTAGGGACTCGTCTCCTATAAACGTTAACTCAGGAACCAAGAGGCGGGGGTTGGTTTGGGCAGCGTAATTTCAGGGCAATATGGGTAAGTAAAAATATATGAAAACATACTTACCAAGTTTTCTTTGATTTGTTTAAAACGTAACTTTTGGCAGTGGAAACTGTTTAGAATATTTAGTGTAGTATGCAGATAATTTTGACCTGCAAAAGGTGGTGTAAAAGATTTTATTATTTTAAATGATCCATTTGGGTCCAAATAACATGGATTTGAAGAGTGCACACCCATTTTTTCCCGGCACAACTTTTGGAAGCGAAAAAACCTCAAAATGCCAAAAAAGATTGTAGGAAATCCGAATTCAAAAAGTACCAAAAACTTAAAATTGGACCAATTTTTGAAATTTGTTGGAAATTACTGAATGAGTCGGAATGAACACGACTCATCCAAATTATTTGAATGGCTCTCCCAACACCACACTTTCAATGCAACTGATGCCTTCATGTCACTAAGCAGTCGCATTTGTGACGTTTAAGCCATAAAGGTCAGCCCCCCTAACACCATATCCAATAACTGGCAAGCGAAAGTGTATTTCATTTTCATGTAAATTGTAAAATGCTGCGTCATGAAAACCGCAATCCCAAACTTGCAAAGTCCCTAAGAACATTGTTTTGGGTTGTAATGCTTGCCAAAACTACGTCTTTTGGTCCAATCACTAATAAATTTGGACCTTCTACATTATTTTAAGTAATTTCTAAATTGTAAGGTACTTATTTTCTTTAAAAAACACACCAAAACTTCTATTCCCACCATAATGATTTCATTTCCGAAATTCCTTAACTAACACGCTTCAACTACCGTATTTTTTAGTTAATTTTCGTATCAAATTCAATGAGCATGGTTTGATAAATAGCCCCCGAAATTTAAAAAAAAACCGTCGTTTTAGATGTTACACTTACCCAAACCACGTCTTTACGCAATGGGCTAATGAATTTGAATTTTCGACAGCATTTCTAATGTGCTTTACAACATTCCTAGGGGCGTCGATTGGGGATCAAAAAGGCACCCCCTTGGGTTGGAATTCTACAGATCATGCTCGAAACCTGGGTATAGCCGCACGTACAATCGTTCCATTTGTCATGGTTGCTGAGACAAATACCATTAAACACTCATGCAAGAGGTAATATACAAGTTCAAGACAAAGTTGTCTGGTCTGAATATGCGAAAAATGGAAGTCCACTTTTCGATTCTTCAACTCTAAAGAAGTTTGCGAATACGTTGATATATTGACTGAATTTTTGGACCAATTAAATGCCCCTAATAAGGACCCGGATTTAACATGAATACAGAGAGAAAGAGTGAACTTGCTAGTCACCCTTTTCGTACAATTTTTAGGTATGAGGTGACACAATAATCTTGAGTTGCATATTTCGATTTCAAGACATTTCATTTTGCGAAGGAGGTATTTGGTTCACTCGTATCAAATTAATTCAAAATTAGTAAACTGCGACAATTATTATTAAAATTAATAAAAAGGCAAGTGCGGTTTTTGTTAAGAATGAAATTATCAACAGACTTCTAAACACCTGTTTAAAATGCCGACGCCGACGACGCAATGGACTATACACGTGTTTCTAATGTTAGACTTGGATAGATAAGATGATTGTAATTGTCGTGTATAAATTTTTGATTTGGAAAATGATTGCTTGAAACTAACGGCAGTGACATGTGTTGAGGTAATATTTAGTCACACTTCACCTATTGTAACTACAAAATCATTTTGCATTTTATGTCCAATGTTTAAATGTAAAAATCCAAATTACTTATCGCACTTTACGCGGTACCTAATCTGCACTTGTCAAAATTCACCCTTAGCTTTCTTGCTTTCGGTACTAGGCACTCTCCTTTGAACCATTTGGAATTTTTGGAGACCATTCCGCACAAGATGCACTGCACTTCGCGTTAACACGATCGAATTATTTGATAATCAGTTATATTTTTGATGGAGGGGCGGTAACGTAAGAGGTAGAGACTAATCACCTGATGCGCTTATCTGCACATGCGGTCAGTTATACTTATACCTTTCAATAATTGTTTCACCGTACTGAATGAAGTCGTTTCTAATAAAATATGACATGTGAACTACAATTTTTTAACCCATGAGATTGTGATCAAAATTAATTTTCATTCTCACGTGGAAAAAGTCAAAATCTGACTTTCCTTGTCTGCCTTCCAATTACATTTTGTCACTGAAATAGATTTTTTTTGGCACGTTCAAAAATCAACTTTAGCTTCTAATTGTTTTATTTACTATTGCCCTATTGCCACGTATTTGAAATATAAGAATCGCAAATATTGTTTTATATCATACTTGATCATTATTCAGTTATAATAATTCTAAATCAAGATACATTAAATGACAAATAATGCACTCCACTATGGCAACCCCAATTATGCGTAGCAACGGGCGTTATTTCTGTAACGGCAGGAAAGCGAATTACTTATAATCAAAATCGTCGTGTGTACTAGATGTTATTCTACCCGTAAAGTATACCCAAAATGTTCAGTGGCGTACCTTGGGGGCCCAAAATAACCGAAAAGCGGCAATTTCAGTCGCCATTTTGGATTGAAGGGGTTAAATGCCAAAATCAGGTCTGGCAACAGACGGTAATGTTAGAGCTTTCGTGCAATATCTTTTGATATAATGCGATAACAAATTATTTCCAATTTCATGCGGTTATCAAGAACACATCATTCATCAACCAAAAGATATATTCAAGGAAGAATGTCTTTTCTAATAATGAGTTATATAGATAATACGAACTTTCTCTACGTTAATCCGCAATTCCGAGACCATTTTGCCTTCAGTAAATATCATTAGCGCCGTTTGTTGAAGTAGGAACATCACATAGCTGTTACTGACAGAACCAAAAATGAGAGGAAAAAATTGGCAAGGACAAGAAACCGCAACCTCTTGCCATGGCAAAACAGGGAGGGAAATCTTCCAGCAAGATGAGAAATCTTGCAATGTGAGACATTAAGTAGGTTAAGCTCTTCGTTTCAAACGTTCAGATTTTTGGAGGACGTACCCCCAAACGAAACATTTTGTACCCTCTTCATTCATTTGATAAAATGTTTGTTTGCCCTTCTAAGCCCATTTTTGTGTAACATATTTGTTCACCTCGTATAGTAACAGTTCTATTCGTCAATTGTATATGTAACAGTCTTTTCTTACCAATGCAAAATTTCAAGTTTAAATTTACCATAAAGTCCAGAGAAAGTGGTTTCCGAGTTTAAAATGAGAGAGTACTCTCCTCAGACCGACAACTTTAAAACTAGTTTTTTGAACATTTTGGGCAGTCAGATTTAGTCACACCAGGTTTACCACAATAGTAACAATGTTGATTTTTGGGTTTGGGACATTGTAAATAAATTGGGAATGAAGCCCAGGCTAACATTTTTTAATTCTGTGTGTTTATTAAATTAGAAAATATTCGATACTAAAAACCATAGCATACTTTTTTATAATATTTAACATACTGCCCGGGTTGCAATTCCGTGAATTTCTAAACACTTTAATTAAGTCACTGGTAATAACCTGAATAGGATTGAATCGAGAGCATGTAACACATTCACGTGTTATTTATTATTATTTATTTATTTATTTATTTGTTTAACCAGAAACCATACAGAATAAAAATTCCAATTACATGACACTGGGGCTCTGAACAAATATTACGACTTAAGATCTAATTTGATTTATTATTGAATTTAGGGGATCGTGAAAAAGTCGATATCATTAACTGAGAACAACTTATTTAAAGTGATCAAGGTCTTAATTAGTGGGGAAGTTGTGTTGTTAACTGCAAAAATAGTATTATTTTGCCTTAGCTTAACAAATGGTACCTTAAGCTTAATTTCTTGAAGTAATTCGGAAGAGTATAACAAATTGTGTAAAATTTTGAAGACAAAAATTGTGGAGGCAATGTACCGTCGGGTTTCTAACCTCGTTATATTTAAGCCGAAAGTACTATTTAAGTAGGGTATCGTAAGAGATCAAATGTGGATAATTTTGGGTTGACTTGTAGATTGGACTTTATTAAAAAGTTTTAGATCGTCCGCAAATAGTAGTGCTTTCGAGTTTTTTATCACTCGCGGTAATCATTTATGTATACGAGTAAGAGAAACAGAAAAGGACCAAGAAGTGTTCCCTGGGGAACGCCTGATGAGGGATAAAATTCGGCTGAATTCACACCATTGAATTTCACTCTTGTTTTACGGAGAGATAAATATCATTTCAAGAATTTGACGGTCGGATTACTTACGCAATTTAAAACAAGTTTACGGAGCAAGACTTGATGGGATACTGTGTCAAATGCCTAATTAGACGTTGGGGTAACGGAATTAATGTTCGCGTTTATTAACGAGCTCTTAAAAGCGAGTTCGTGATTTTGGACTTTCTGTTCGTCTGTCGGTCCTTCTGTGTCCACGGATAACTCGCGAACGGTTTCGCATTGTCCAATTCTGTTTCCGGTATTATGTTTATCATCACCCAAGGAACAACTGATTAAATTTTTAGTGACCCAGGAGCTCGTTTGCTATATTTATTATAGGTTTATTCTTTACTGACAATGGCACTTTATGAGTGCTATACCGGGTGGTGAACGGTAAGTAGGAACATAGGGATTTAACATGCGAAATTAGTTTTATGCAATATCCTGCCTTCCTGTACATTTGACAGAAAAAAATGTAGATGTGGCAAACTTTTAGAACCAGAACCAACAGGTAAGAAATTCCTACAGAAAATATAGTGAGCTCGAGTACGTACGAGTACCTGTTATGAGCACTTTTTTATAAGAGGTAACGTCTTGTGAATATTTTTAATTACATTAATTTTTTCCACGAAAAAAGATTACCGACCGGTATTATAAAGTATACTTAACTATGTTGTCAGGCTAACAATGTTGTTAAGGCATGTGATTGGATGGGGGGGGGGGGGGATGTCGATCCAAAAAGTAACTAATATCACTAGCAACTTAGTTTGCAATTTTGTGAATTGGGGTTGTTGGAGGAAGGGAAAACGGGCGCAAGGGTATGGGGTTCAAAGTTGGTGATTGTGATTGTAACGAGGAGCCAGAATTACAACATCTCATCTGGATTCAGCATGTTTAGAGAATTATGAAAAACTACGTTCCTTTGAAGTGCCATATTCGGTAACGAATTTAGATAAAAACATGTTTAAGTAGTCAAGAACAGTTAACGCTCCACAAAGAAGTATAGAAAATCTTTTGACGTAGGACGCAAGAGTTATTCTGGAATAGCCGTAGGAAGGTCACAAAATTTTGCAGTTTTGTCCCTCCTCTTTTTGCACAGGATCCTTGAGATCGAACGCTTGAGAAAATGTAAATTAACCATCCATAAACAACATCCCAGTTTGATCAACTTTCGACCTTTTCCACCGAACACTACTTTTTCCAACCTGTCCAATTTCAAAAAAGACCCATGGAGTATTTCTAAAGTCTGCCTTCTACATAAAGTTGCCCTATTTGTCTTAATTCAGAAATTACGCCACGATTGTGTTGATGGATTAATAGCGATTTTACCCAATCAGTTGCAATTCCAAGTTCAAATACGGGTTTTACCCACCAAGCCCGGAGTCCGAATTTTATTTACACCATCATAGAGATAATGCTACAAGCAAATACTTTTCGTCACCAAGTTTTCACGAGGCATCTTTTGAGAGAATTCTCGGGGCCCTTTTGGAAGAAATCTCGACGAATGTAGAGCGATAAATTATACAATAAAGGTGTTAATAATGGCATTTAGATAACAGACGGATGGACGAGGAAAGGACCACAATATTTTTTCCCTTTAGGAAGGCATTGGAATAGTAATAAATGTTGTAACATGCAATCTGGCCAAATCTAAGAGTAAAAACTCAATATCGGTTGTTTATTGTAACGCTGTTTTTATCAAAACTGAAAAAATGTGATAATTTATGACCCTGAATGAATTTCTTTCGCATTGATAAAGACCACGAATTTGTTAAAGAATGCTCAAAGTTCATGTACTTAATTAGTTGTTTAATGTGCAATACTTGCTTGAGTTTGGGTATACGGAAATGTCTTTAAATAATTATCTCAAATTACAATACCTACCTGCATTTTCCTGTTGTTGGTTTATTTTAGCTTTCAGCACAACGTAAGTTCAACTTTCATTCATTTTTTTGCTAAAATCGCTAACCTAAAAGTGGTATGGCTTTTTTCTGTGTTCATTTCAAAGGTTTGGACGCATGCCGTTTTGCTTACATCGTCCCAATACATTTACAAAGGTATTTAATTGTTTAAACAGCAATCATAGATATCTGCAGTTATACTTACAGAAATAAATAGATACATTATTGGAAGAATTTAAGGGTTTGGGTGTACATTGCTATTTCGGTGATCTATTCTTTTTCATGAAAAAACGTTTCTGACGCACAAGAAACTTTTTAATCCATTTACCGATAGAATCATTAATCACCGAACTATACATAGAATATTTCATACTTTTCAGACACTTTTTATAAACTTACGCCATTCAAGTCCGGAAAAGTAGTAAAAAAAAATAAATAATAGGCAACTTGACTGACAGTGCCAAAAAAACTATAATTTATTGATAAAAAAGTTAAAGGAACCCTTTTTGTTATGCCTCAAATTCTAACAGCCAACATACCGAAAGTACGATTTTATTAAAAGCTCTTTGTAGGGTTTTGCGTCTTAATAAAATAAACGTGGCAAGTAACAACTTGCAAATGCAGATAGATAGATGATGGTATCCTAGGGGGAAACAACTTTGAATTTGTGGTGTACACCCCTCTGAATTAATTTGAATTAATTTGAATTAACGTGAATTAATTTGAATTAACGTGAATTCATTTGAATTAACGTGAATTCATTTGAATTAACGTGAATTAATTTTAATTAGCGTGAATTAACATGAATTAACGTGAATTAATTTGAATTTGAGTGTTTGATGTACACCAAAAATGGTACTTCTTCCCCTTAAGAAAAACTGGTTTCTAAAAAATCATCGATTGCTGAAAAAATTGCCCTTGTAAATCCCCAGACAGTTTGCTTCAGAAAATTTGGTTGCGCTTCAAAAATTGCCCTTGGAATACTTCATCCCTAAATACTTGTTCCCGGAAAAGTTTCTCACTGGAGATATTCGCTATAGACAAATTCTCATCCTGAAAATGTAGCATCGAAAAATCACTATTGTGTTTTAATCTTCAAAGACTTGTTCTCGAAAAATTCCTGCTGGGAAAATTACCTATGGAAAAATTCGCTTCCGGAAAATGTAGGCTTGAAAAATTCGCCCTGGGGAAATGCGCACGGGAAAATTCTTTCCTGGAATAATTGTATAGGTAACAAAATGTTATTCTGGAAATTTAGCCTCGAAATAATCGCTCTTGGAATATTTGACATAAAAAACACGTCTCGCCCTAGGAAAATTCGTTATCGAAAAATTCTTGTCCTGAAAATTTAAACACGAAAAAATCGTTCTTGGAAAATTTTTCCCTGGAATACTTGCGTGAAAAATTTGCCCCCAGAAAATTTAGTCTCGAAAAAACCTCCGTTGAAATATTTGACCCAGAAACATCCGTCCTGATAAAATTTGACCTGGAAAATTCGTTTCTCAACAATACGCCGATTCCTGTAAAAAGAATCTCCTGAAAAGTCGCTAGGAAAAATCGCTCTCATAAAAAATCCCCTTTTTAATATGCTTCCCTGTAAGATTCAACCCTTAAATTCATACAGGGAATATTCACCTCTACGAATTTTCCTCTCGTAATATTTGCGTGAAAATTTCACCCCCAACAATTTTCGGGAGGGTTCTTCCTGGAAAACTTCTTTTCTAAAAAATGCGCCTACCGAATGAAGTCGTTATTGCAATATTTGACTCCCAAAAACTCCAAGGAAAATTGTTCTGGGAAAATTCGCTATGGAAAAATTCGCTTCCGAAAAATTTGCCTACGGAAAATGTAGACTCCAAAATTTGCTCTTGACATTCGTCCAGCAAAGGAAATTCATCTACAGAAAATGTTGAAAAAATCATCTTTCGAATATTCGGTCCCCAAAAAATCGGTCGGGGAAAATCTGTCTTGGAAAATTTGCATTGGAAGTTTATGCCCTGAAATACTCGCGTAAAATACTACTTGTCTCCAGAAACGTAAAAAAATCGCCCTTGAAATGGAAAAGTTCTCGTCCTGAAAATTTAAGATTAATAAAATCGCTCTTGGAAAATTTTTCCCTGGTATACTTATGTAAAAAATTTGTCCCCAGAAAAAATCTGCCGTTGGAATATTTTACTCGCAAACTCTAGTCCTGGTAAAAAATTTGCCTTGGAAAAATTCTAGATGGAAACAACTTTGAATGTTTGGTGTACAACCCCTCTGAATTAATTAGAATTAATGACAATTAATGAGAATTAACGTGATTCAATTTGAATTACCGTATATTAATTTGAATTAACATGAATTAAATTGAAATAACGTGAATAAATTTGAATTAACGTAATAATTAGGTTGAATTAACGTGAATTAATTTGAATTTACGTGAATTAACTTGAATTAACATGAATTTTTTTGAATTAACATGAATTAAGTTGAATTTGAATTTTTGGTGTACACCAAAAATGGTCTTGTTTCCCCCTAGATCGTATCCAAAATAAAGCAGAACTATTATAAGAGACAAAAAGTGAATTTTCAAAAAATCCAGACACCTGAAATTTCTTACCGCTAAGGCTCCTGGAACTCCACAGTTTTAAATTAAGTTACATAACGTTGAAATGACATTTTACCCTGAATGTGGTAATTTCTTTTTGGTTCGATCATTTACATTAAATAGCAATAACTTTATAACAGCTTTGATATGTATTAATTTATAGCAGTAATTATTATTTATCACTTATAGTTTATAACACGGTCGGGAGCTTAATACTTCACTTTGCATCGATATTAAAACTGACTGAAGCTTATGTGGCAAACGCCCATCTTTCTCGAAAGTTCACGGACACTTCCGAAAGCTCTCGAATATTCTAGAACAAACACGTCACATTTCCCGGAAATAATGTGTCACATCCGCTTTCGTTTCTTATTGCCGATGACTAATCTTTTATGGCGCCTCGATATCTGTGGGGAATAATCTACACAAGCACGTTTTTTTTGTTTATATCATTGGAGAGAAGTATATACGATCATAACACATTTGTTAATTGATTCATCTGTCCGTGTTTGAAAATGGACAAAATGCAGAATGGATATCCTCCAAAGATTTTAAGGGATTTCCGAGGATGTCAAAAAGTTTTGATGTGCAAAATTTAGACATCAGGCTTTTTTGCATTGATCCAGGCGAAATGCGTGCGACTCTTTTCGGATAAAACAAGGTTTTCTTATAACGCACTTAGAAAAATAGAGTCGCGAAAAATTTAAATTAAAGATATATCTCTTCAGTTTTATGCCAAACACAAATTTATTCTGACGGAATAGTTCGACAACAAAGAAATCATCTAAAAATCGGATGCTCTCTTGGAATCTTATTAGAATATTTTTTAAATTCCCTTAAAAAATCCATTAATCCTATCATTTATGAAATGTTGTTGACAAAGGAATTTAAAAAAAAGGTGAATTAATTTGGAAACTTTTGGGGATAGAAGCAAAATAACATCTTTGGACCACCCAAAAACTTCAGAACTGTTGTAAACGTTCACATATCCATTTTTACAATCTTCCTAGAGCGTTCTTGGAATCTGCTTCCAAACAAACCAAGTAAAAAGAATTTCGGCATAAGGAAAGTCACTTTAGCGCATTTTCCACGCATTGATCAGTACTTTCCAGGAGGCCACTGCTATGTGAACTGTTTTTAATTACTAAAGAAATGTCTCCATAAGTAAGAGAGTTGGCATTGCGCAATCTACGCATGCGCACATTCAATTTTGCAATATGCGATATGTTTGCCCTTAATCGGATTTTATTATTATTTATTATTTATTTTGGATTTTACACACGATTGTTTTCTCGGGTTAATCTTTCGCTAGAGCCTAGATTATTTTTTAATCCCTATTCCGATTCAACCCTGGATTCAACCCTAGCACTAAGAGAGGACAAGATTTAGTGGGACACTTGATACCCATTCGTCCATATGAACGATTGAGAGAGCTTATAATTTTTTTTAATTAATCCCTACGCCCAAAGGCTGCATTGTGGTTGGTAATCTGAACTTTAAATGGAACTCGATTTTGAATTCCGCAAAATTAAAAAGTCTGAAAGGACTGGTAACAAATTCAGGGATTTCCTTAGATAAAAATACAAATCGACAAACCAATAATTTTACCTAAGTTTCAACAACTTTATGATCTCGCATTTACAGTTTAATGCTAATAGTAAAAGGTCAGAAATTGTTTTTAACCCAAGGATCTGTCGATTTAAATTTACAAAATCATACGAATTTTTAAAACTAACCTTTTATCAGTGATCCTTCCTGGATGCGGCAAACTGGAGTTCTTACAGCTACGGGGGTTAGTTCGTCACTCTGGGGAAGTTATCAGATGATTTCCTTGATGCATTCTTAAGAACCCGACAGCATGGATACATCCTGTAACATAACGATAGGTTAAATTGCAGATTTCGATTGGTCAGTACAAATTTTGGGTTTGCAAAATTTAAACGAGCACTAGCATACATTCGGTTTTAAGCGGTTTGTTCTTGAAATGTTGAGTTTAATAATTTGAAAATCCTTTTCGTACATTTTTCCACTCTAATTACAACGTACAAAAATGAACGTAAATATTATTTGACATTGCCGACAATTTTCTTTATCGCAATTTCACTTTACAAATTACACGGGATATTAAAGTAGCTTTCTGTTTCGGGAAAACCCAAAATTAATCCAAATAAAAGCTTTCTGTAACATAAGCGACAGTTTATTGAACACTAACAAGCTTGAACAACACAGCAATTGAGCAATAACGTTGGTTTGAGGAGCATTAACCAGGCACATTCAATCTCAATCAAATTGGAATAAATGAGAGATTTCGTTTTAATTAAGACGCCAATTAAGACGTACAACTGTCCTAGGTACCTTATATCGGTCTATCATGAGCACGTCTATCCCATTCTCCCGTACATAAGTGAAACTGGATCAAGTCCGCCTGAAAGTTGCATCTTCGGACAAATGGTAAATTTCGGCGCGGTTCTACGTAAGCTTACTGCTTTCCATGGTGAGATTATCATCGCAATCTCCGATTTTAGTGGGAGTAATCATGTACATCAGATACCGTCAAGTGGATTTCGTCTTAACCGCTGGAAGTATAGCATTAAAAAGAACGTGGAATGAAATGTCGTTCTGGTGTGGAAACCTCATTTGTTTTGGGGTAACTCTGGTGGGCAATTTTCAGCAGACCAATGCGTCTTGGATGCACTTTGGTGGTGCATTTCTAACATTTGGTGGAACTGCGGTGCTTTTTATTATACAGGTGAGTGATGCACCGAAACGATCATGAGGGCAATCTATAATGTTTCAGACTCGAATTGGATTCGCGCTAAGACGATTTTACATCAGGTTTCCAAGATATGGGGTAGGAAATAAAATGATGTACTTCAGAGTATTTTTAACGATATTCTATAACACATTATTTATAATGATGTGTGTCTGTGCCGTTATTTCGGTAGACCACTTCACAGGTAATTACATTTAACTTCTTATAGTGTATGTCAATAAAAGTATTGGGTTTACAGGACTAGATTACAAATTGTGGACTAATGAACACGGAGGATATTCCATCCATCTTGCATCCACACTCTCTGAATGGCTTTTGGTTTTAGTATTAATGCTGTATGTACTTACAGTTTCAAAAGAATTTAAATCTCTAGAATATCAAGAAATTAAATTCTTAAATAAGAATGTTGATAGAAATTGTATTGAATGTTGTTAATTTATACCAGTTTGTATAGTACCTATAATTTATGTACCTAGTTCAATATTGCTCACTTTTTGTAACAAAAATGTTGAAGTTTTTAAGACTATTCTTTGTATTTTAGACTGTTGAGTTCGAATTTTACTATGAATGGAATTACTTCATAACGAAGAACGCACTTTCTCCGCTTTCCTGCGTTTTTTTAAAATGATCTACAACTATTTCAGCAAAAAAGCTATACAGTCCACTGATGCGCTCATTAATGGTCCTTCGAGCCGATTCAAGTTAATTTTTGGTAGTTTGTGATTCACGCGAAACGCTAATTAATTTAATAATTATACATTTTCAATAACTGTTCGTTAAAAGTCAGATAAACTTATAGTTTAAATTAGATCTACCGCATGAAAGAGGAGTTATCTAGCAGCGCAACCCTTACCAAAGATATATCGGTCAAAAAAACGTTCATTGCGAGGGCATTGTTTCAATATATAAAGAATTCCAAACCGTTCATAATCGGATTATTGGTTTAAATGACGACGATGAATTCCCGATCCATGATGCTATTCGTAAGGAGGCTGATAACGCATATTATTCCATTAAAGGCTTATTACTTTTGTAATTAAATACAACCGAGCCGAACATTAATTAAAATCATTCTATTGCGAAGACCAGCCCTAAGTTAAACAAAATTTAATTGCCAATATTTACAGGTGTACTAAAAGAATGGCCATCGTTTTTTATTTACTCCCGTCTTAGTCAATGAAAATGAGTGCTTATCTAAAGTGGAGAAATCCCACTATTTGTTCACGTCTTTACGGGGAAAACCATTACATTTAATTCGCACTTTGGTAAAACGATATCAAAATAAATTAAACAAATATAGCAAACGAGCTCCTGGGCATGGCTTGGCTTGGCATTAACGTATTATATGGCTAAAGCTATGCTCATTTTGAATTTCATGCAATTCGGTTCATAACTAACGGAGATGTCATAAGGGAATTCCTTATTTTGTGGCCTACATTGCCAATTCACAAACTCCGATCTCCAAAATTTCATCGTAATCGGTCCATTCGTTTTTGGGATATCGTGCTAACGGACGGACAGACACCGCAAAATTATAAACTCGCTAGGAGCTCGTTAATAAGCGCAATTTAGCCATAAGGTACTATCAAAATCTACATACCGCGCCCGCTATGCAACGTCCTTCGGCTAAGGAGCTTCGTTCCCTAGACAAATTTTGTAAGAACGTTGAAGCATTGCGCAAGCTTAATTTTCCTGCTGACGAATTGAACTTTATTTATTTAATTGTTAATTAGATTCAAAAACGCGTACCCAATCGAACATGACTACAACAGTTACCTACGTATAATGAACTTTATGGCTTTTTAGAAAACCACGCCAAAGCTTTAGATTCCGCTCAGCTGAGCAATTCGATCGCTCATTCTTCTGCCACTCCAAAAGTTAAACCCGGACCAATCAACGGTCAACAATGAAAGCATGTACCTTTAATGTACCTAATTTACATTCCATTTAAGTAACTATTATTATATATTAGTATTAAATTCAATTTAAATTCAATAATACACAAAATTAGATGTTAAGTCCTAATATTTGTTCAGAGCCCCAGTGCCATGTAATTGGAATTTTTATTCTGTATGGTTTCTGGTTAAACAAATAAATAAATAAATATTTGATTTGTGCTCTCTTCTTAAATTCATCTAGGTATTTTCTTTGTAGTCCACTAGCTTAAGGTGTAAGTTAATTTCTGTAGTAGACATTACCTTAGTTCTCTATTTTCGCTGTTAGATTTCTTATTACGATAGTTCTTTGTTTTGCCATTAGAGGCTGTCCGAGTGTTAGAAGTTTCATTTACCTACTTCTTTGTCTTGTCGCTAGAGTTCATGCTTTGTACCTTTCTGCACTTAATGCTATCCCTTCTTTAATTCAGTATTGCGCACAGTTGTATTTCTTTTCCCCTCAATGAAATTTTTCTTGGTACCTAAGCCATTACTTTTACTGACTTCGTGTCTTACCGTAAGGGATTATTGTTTTGGCTGTCACCATATATCTTTGGAGTGGTTTCTCTTTCTTCTTGATGTCTGTGGCTTTTCTCTATTGAAACGTTTTAATATGAATATCTACAATTAGATTACATCCCCATTGAATACATTTATTTTTTGTGCACCATAAACTATTTTTCTTGAATTTAACGTCACGTTTTGATAATCCGTGGTGGATTTACAATTTTGCTTTTGGTTAATTAACATTAGTTGAATTATTGATTCTTATTGAGTATTAATTATGGTTTAGTATACGATTTACCTGGATCAGTCTCAGTCGTTAGAATTGCTTACGTAATCTTTTATGTACCGCGCTATTCACCATTCCTCTTGTTTGTTTGTTGTGTTGTGTCTGTTACAGATAAAGCTGAACGCGCCCTTTTGAACTCACAAGGTTGCGACCCGAAGTTCAAAGGTAACTTTTTTTATTTTCGTCGACTCCTTGATGTAACATTTGATTACGTACATCTTAGGATTACATACTGGTTTTCGATACAATCGAATGGTAAGTATTAAATTGACTTGATATTCACTTAACGATTACAGTTCCGTTGTTTTTTACGGAAGCCTGTTTTGATATTAAAACGGACAAATTAAATAATTTGTGATAGGTATATAGGATGTCCATTTTTCAAGTGCCATTATGGGGATCTCGCTTATCTTAAGAGGTAGAAAATTTGTTAAATGAGGGCAAAGTTGCAAATTTTTGTACTAAGAATACTGGAGGTGGAGGAAGAATCAGACATAAGTAAAAGTAACCAAGAGGAGCAGGAAAGAGGGGACAGAAAGTAACGCAGGCAGAGGATAACAATTAAAAGGGGAGGAACACGGGAGAAAAATAGAGAAGAGAATGATATCAAAGGATAGGAACATCGGAAACTAATGAACGCTAATATCAAGTATCAAATAATAATCTGAAAAGAAATTTAAATTTCTTCAATAGTCTTGAAAATATTGCAAAAATTTCTGATGAACTAGCGTCCGTCGTTGGCACGGTTGATTCTGATTCTTTCCCGCACCTAAACGGGTAAAAGATAAACACAATATTTTTGTCATTTTGTGGGAATTCAAAATAATTATTTAGTAAAGTAAAACTTAATAAAATATACTTCAACTCCTAGGATTTTATTTGAGTGAAAAGGTTAAATCTATTTGTACCTAAAGAGCGCAGTGATAAATTAAATGAATACCTACTGCTTTCATATATTTCCCATATTTCATCCTTCCGTAAGAATTTTCTGTAATAAAATCCAAAGCTATTCAGATTTTGTTAGGTAGTCGTCTACGTCGCATCCTCAAGAAACAGGATTTTCTGCTGTAGTTTCGTTAAAACCAGAATAAAATTCAACAAAAATGAGAGCTCTCAGGAGTGGCTATTTCCAATATAGAACTCCACTTAAAGAGGTCGGTTGGGTGTTTCAAAGCAAGCATCATTTCTCAAATATTTACTTCCAAGTTTTAAATTTAAAATAAGTTTGTAGTTCAAAGTTTTTTTAACGTATTTTGTTACCATATGTTAACACAACCCTTCACTGGAGGGCGCGGACCGCAATTTTTTTATTGGTATTTATTAATTTTGTATGTAATAATTCTTACCTAGCCTCATTCTATATACCGGGTGGTGCACGGTAAGTAGGAACATAGGGATTTAACATGGGAAATAAGTTTTACGTAATATCCTGCCCTCCTGTACATTTTACAGCAAAACTGTAGAGTTTAAAGTTGTTCAGAATTAAAAGGTGCATAGAAAACTGTTTTTTCATGTTTTATTAAGCTTTTGGTATTCCCGAAAACTTAAAAATAAATTTCAACAGTTCTGTTATTCGTAGCAATTCATAAAACAACAAAAGTCATGGCTATCTAATAACAGAAATCTTGAAATTTATTTTTAAATTTGCGGGTAGGTATACCAAAAGCTTAATAAAACATGTAAAAACAGTTTTGTATGCACCTTTTAATTCTGAACAACTATAAACTCTACAGTTTTGCTGTAAAATGTACAGGAGGGCAGGATATTACGTAAAACTAATTTCCCATGTTAAATCCCTATGTTCCTACTTACCGTGCACCACCCGGTATACACAATGCCAAGATATGTATTATTAATTAGTAGCAACTCATTTAAAACATCCTTTTATAAGCGTAGGTAGGTAGGTATAGTTATACGTTTTTCCTTTTCGTATGACTAATTTACACATCCAAGATTTGAACAAAATCCGTCGAGCCGTTACCTCGGAAAATTGCCAACGCACGTAACCACGTATATGTAGGTTGTTGAGATGATCTAACATTTGATGAAAATTGTCCTAAAAATGTTGATCACAATAGCCACATAACTCGTACTGGGAGGAAGCTAAAAATCATATCTATTCTCACGTTTCATTTAAAAAAAACGTTCTATTGTAACATTCAGGTAATACATGTATACAACAAAGACGTTTTGTTTCTTCAACATTTCAAATAGGTAATTTTTCTTTTCAGAGAATTAAGTTAACATTGCTCTAATGGGCGTATGATTTGTTCCAGACTTTCTGTTTAGAACCGTCTTAAGCGTGGTAACATACTCCTACAGTTAGACAACACACCTTTCAGAAAGAAAAAAAGAAACCCCCTGTCTGCTGAAAAGTCTTTAACTTCAACCGTTCTGTGCAGGGTACAGGGACTTTTCTTGGGAAGGAAGCTTGACAGAAAGTTGGCGTGGATTACTGGTTTTCGATTTTACCGTGGAGAAAGCACATAATATAGTTCCTTTCTCATGTCATGCCCACTGTCGGACGGTGCGTAAGCAATACGAGAAAGGGGCCCTCTGTCTTAATTGATTAAATAGATGTATTAAATGTGTTTTTGTACTAAATTTGTTCATTTCGGTTTTCATTCTCATACTTTATGAGCTAGCGCAATATGTGCTGCATCAAAATGATGGAAAATATCTACAGAACTGTGATGCATGTTTTTTTATGCATGTTTGTTGGGTATATTTTAGGGAAAACATTTTTCCGCAAGCTGTGCTACTAACGGTTCCATAGATATAGCCTGCGGCCGGCCACCCTGTACTTATTCCCACTCTGTAAACATTGCAATACAACATATCTGACAGTTTTTGAATTTTATCGTTTCCGCTTTTATGAATTTAATTAAAGAATTAAAGCCCAGGATACGCCACTGGAAATTTACAGGAAACTGCATTTAATTCTAATTGCACAAAAACGGGTGGTAGCTGTCGCGCGTAAAAGGGAGTATGGTTTTGGCTTTACTCAAGCATGAAAAGGAAGGTTAGGAACTTTTAGCTGAGGCGAGTAATAACAGTGAAATCAAAAGAAATACTAATGGTTATTCTAAATAATCAGTACCAAAATAAAATTCTCCAAAATTGGATTTCGTATCCCCCCAAATACAAAAATACTCCCCAAATATTCAAAATTGTTGATTACTTGACTCTTAGAAAATTAAACGTCCAATAAATAAAATTTGCCCAATTCAACAATGATCGCATAGAACTACAGGCGGGAATACACAAAAGTCTCCCAACAAAATATGACAAAGTTCAATAGTTGTTTCGATTAACAAAACACAAGTGCAGTCATGAGAAAAAGAAAAATCTTACAAAGTTCGAACTTGCGCGCTCTAGCATGAAAGAGAATCCGGAAGATGGCGTTGTAAAAACCTTAATCATTGAATTTATACAATGTGGATGCCTTAATGGATTTCTTTACTTGTTATATGGTACATAACTAATTTTCGCACCTAAGTACAGAGAACTTTCAATGCGAAGGTCACTTTAACTGTTTTAAAGTAAGTACGAATTATGTTGCGGAATTTCCAATTAGCTTAGCTAATGTTGGCATCTCTTCACTACAGGGTGGATTTTATTTATTTGTTAAGCGTGTTAATACAAAGTAGTTATCAATGCTTAGTAGATAGGGTGGAATTTTCCCATAGTATGGGTGGCTTTCATTGGAGATTAATATACAGGATGTTTAAATAATTTAGGGTATCTTGAGGATTTGGTACAGTTACATAGATTCATATATCCGTAGGTATACTCTGTTTTTTAACTAGGAAGACGGATTTAAAAACCTGATTTACACTGGAAATGTCACTAGAATCTAGTAACAAAAATAATACTCATTTTATACAGACATGTATTGTGGGTTGCGTGATGTGATTTTCTTTCACATTTGGATAGATTTCATTATTTATGCTTTTGGGTTATTATTTGGTAGGTAACGCCTTTATATTATGCATACATCATACTTTTAAAAGCGAATTATAATAAATAGGTAATACATTGATAATAGGTGAACATCCTGCATACATTTTTTGGCCTTTGAAACATTATTTTGAATTGTAGTTCTAAATGTTTTATCAGTTGTAATACTACACAATCCACCTTACAATTTACAACAAATGTTAAGTTATTGAACAAATTCAAAATAATGGAATTATACTCGTATTATTAAACAGAACAGTTCACTGCTTCATGTATAAGCGATTTGGTCTTCCGAAAGTTCACTAAAACTGTCACTGTCCTCCGATCGGAGTGAAATAATTAATGGGTCTATAAGTGTACCCATTAGGCCATCCAATCTACACACCTTATTTTCTTCCTTAATAACGTGTTGCACACAATTCCACCAATCGTCAGAGCTCACATTTGCAACAGCCGGATGACCACCGGAACGTTTCGAAGGGGTAACAATCACAGTACTTCGATATTCTTTAATTATCTGGTATACTGTAGATCGTGCAACTCCTAAATATGATATGTGTCATACTTTAATAACCAAATATATACCTACATCATTATTTACGTTACCTGTGGTAGATGTAATCTTCAACACAAGCGTAGCAAAATTCATATCCGGAGTATCAGACATTTGTTTATAATAAACTGCTTCTCGGAGACTAATAAAATGACCCAAGTTTAAGCGACTACGTTTTTTCAAAGGAGACAAGCTTGCTTTACTGGTAGGTACTTGGACTTGGAGTTGAATCCATCACTAATGCCAGTACACTTACGACGCGAAATATGAACTTTAGTTCTTAAATGAACTGGTTTTTTGTTAAAATTTATGCAAATGGACTCAGAACACACAAAAACTCAAAAATAAGTACAACAGTTAAAGGACGAGAATCGCCGTTCGTCTCGCGACAGTAATCACTTGGCTGCTACGCACATGCGTATTACACCTTCCCATTAATGCATAAAACTTTAAATTTAAATTTAGAAATGTGAATAAAGAAATACCGTTCTGCGCATGTGCGTAGCAGCCAAGTGATTACTGTCGCGACACGTTCCTCGAGAATCGCGATTAAATTTGACAGTTAAATCATGTCAATAGCAATTTTACCTGGGTGTAAAACGGGCGCAGCGCGAGCCAATAGAAACTAAGATTTTTTGCGGGAACTTTTAAATCCGTCTTCCTAGTTAAAAAACAGAGTATAGATAGTATGGGTATTTTCGAAGGTGGATGTAGTATTTTATATTTTAACAACTGATTCAATTACAATGTTTGTTGTCGGTTTGTGAGATGAGTCAGGAGTGTATTGTTTCTCTTATATGGAGGCGTAAAATATTTATTGAATTTGTTCTTGTATTAATTAGAAATTGATGATGCATTTGTTGAAAAATAGCATACATATTTGGTTTTCGAGCCAAAATGAAAGAGGAGTCTGGCAAAATATTGACTAGCCATAAGAATAAGTCACTTTAGCTCCGCATAATATACGCTATTTATTCTTCAAACGTGAGAATATAAAAAAATAATGGTTTTTAAATCAGAAGAAAAATTAATCAGATTAGGTACATTTTAGACGTCTGTGCGTTGGCATTGGCAGCGTGTAAAAAAGTACTCGTTGCCATTGGCAGCGTCAGACAAAATACTTAATTAGATATATGTATTGCACTTGCTCCAATAATTCTAATGGTGTACACCATTTTCGCATGTACTACTATGTGCATCATAGTATAGTGCAATTGAGGATGATGAATTTGCAATAAGTTTCCTACAGGAAAATGGTTTAGGTAAGAGGTACCTTGACTATCTAAATCAAAAATGATAAAACAAGAACTTGCATAGTTGAATATCATACAACTACTCAATTATTTAATTTTCTTCCAAGCCTTTGAAGATAACTTCTTAATCCTAGCTCTATACATGTGTCCCATCAGAAACACAGAAAGTGGAAACATACATATTAAAAGATACACCCTTATCAAAACAACCATTGAAAATGAAAAATTATAGGCATTTGGTAATGATACAGAGAGTCGTTTGGTCTCCTCCAAATATGGTATACTCATATACAAGACGATGGCTTCCAACGTGATACCAATTGGATATAAAACGATCCACGCCGAGTATCTCAACCATTTCAGCAAAGGAACTTTGATATTGCACACTTCCGTAATATAAAATGGATAACTAAAAAATAATTTGTTTCACAAAGTCAAGGATTTCATCAAATGCAATGTGAAGCAATCCATATGGAATTTAAAAAACCTGCAAATTATTAGTTCCTTTTTTACACTGTCTAAAGTGATGTTTTATAAAAATAAAATAAACAACCTGTCGCTTTACACTAAGTAGCTACAACTGCATGTTTGTATTGATTTGTCTTACCATTACAATCATAATTCTTACCATTAACTCCAAGAATTCCTATAACTATTTTTTATGAAGTTTGGGCCTTTCTAAAGAAAATACAACGCAAGCCAGAAGTTCATAGGTGGTCTAAGAAAAAGTTCTGTCGTGCACAGGCAATAAGACAGGCAGGCAGGGCTACAGACCTACACACAACAGAAAACTAGGAATCGCTCCCTAATCTCATGGATTGTGTTTGTAATTTAAATCTAATTAAAGATAACGAGCTCTTCTAACCTATATTGCTGTGATACCATGAATAATTTTAATCTCCGTAATTATTCTATCTTCATCAGAAAGACTGATTACGGTATGGATAATTCGACTTGTTCATTTCAATTTAGCCCATTTTTACATAAAAATGGAAATTATTGCTTTTATTTAATTTGATGAGACATTATAAGTGTCTATGCAATAATAAGACAAGTGATTTAATAGTTTGACGAAAATAGTGGGTTTACGAAATATTGCGCCTTTATAATAAAAAGTGGGTTCGTGATAACGCGCATTTATAAAACGAGTGGTCAAAATGGCGGGAAGAATCAGCCGTTGTTTGAAAGTAAGGGTTGAAAGTAAGTGACATTTATTGTCGTTTGTACAGGGTGAGTCAACGATTGCGCGGAGTAACCTTAAAGATACGATTTTTCAATATAGTGCTTTTGTATTATATGGTTGTATATTCTCCACATATTAAAAATATTTGATTTATACAGGGTGCCCTCCAAAATAGGGTGCTAAATGGTACATTTTTTTAAATGGTACTCCCTGTATTTGAATCCATTTTTTTAATTCTACGTGTAATTGTTCGACTTTTTTTATTACATGGTTAATATACGAATCACTTGTAATTTTAAAGATAATTTGATTTGTGAGAAAAATTTGGCATTTGCAAGTGTCAGTTTATTGTCAAAATTATTACTGACATTTTGATTGCAGGCTCAAATGAGTACATCTACTAAGAAACATTACAAAAATAGCTTACAGGGTGTTTTTTTAGGTCCAAAGTTATAAAACTTCATATTAAAAAATATCACTTTTTTAAATGGAATACCCTGTATATTTTTCTGTCATCTTTTAGCTCCTCCAAAAACGTTCAACTTTTGATAAGAATGATACCTGTCTCTGATAGTTATCGAAATACAGTAGCCTCTCGTTAATAAGAACTCAAAAAATTCCAGGGGGGTTTTCGAGATTATCCCACTACTGAAGGCAAAATAACATCTTTATTTTTATAATATAACGGGCGATCAAAAATGAGTGGCAGTCGCGACGCCTTTGAAAATTTAAGTTGAGTACGATTTCCCATGCAAACAAAAATTCCAAAGGTAACTCGACAGCAACTCATTTTTGATTGCATAGTACAGTATTTGCCATTTTGTAAATTATGAACACAAACACGGGCGTTCGCCTCTTGCACTGCTACAAAAATGCGTAATAAGCTACTAAAACAGTTGCAAGCAAGTATGAACCTGCAAAATGTACTGTTCACATTACTGAGAGTATATATTGTTCACACTACAGAGTAGTCAATAGGAATGTTCTGTTGTTCACATTACTGAATGTTCATATATGCGAATGTTCACATAAGCGCGAGTCTACTGTATCTTGGTTTTCCTGGTTTTTATATTCTAATCTTAAATAAGTTATACAGGGTGCCCATCAGGTATGAATAATAAATATCGAATGTATGCAAAAATGTTCTATATGAAAGTTGTTTTACATTTTATTTCCCATAATAAGGCAGTTGTTTTTATGTCAGAAAACAAATGAGTAACAAAAAACAATTGAATTTTTTCAATAAAACAGGAATAGGAGAATAAGAACACAGGGACATTACGCAACGATTAGATACAATAAACTCATAGTAAATGGAGATGTCTACAACCTAGAACAATTAAACGAAACAGTGGAAGAATCAATGAAAGATTCCCAAATGAAGAACCGCAAGCACAAATAACCAAAATAATCCGATCTAATAGTAAAACTGGCACGAACCCAGAAAACTTAAATATGACCTAACCTCACAAAACCAAGAACCTAAAACGCTACAAACAAAAACTCAGGCTATAAAAAAAGACACGAAAAAAGGCAAAGATATAGGAAATGAAGAGATAGGGGTAGGAATTTGGAACATAAACATACTAACAGAGAAGGAGATAGAAATAACGGAATAAATGGACAGCAATAACATATAAAAAAAAATTAACGTCATAGAAATATATGGGCCAGTAGAAGGAACAGCAGAAGAAGATATGTCAAAGTTCTACACAAATCTACAACAAATACTAGATGTATTGAAAGAAGAAAACGGGAGGACAATAATAATGGGAGACCCGAACAGTAGAGTAGGAAAGGACTACAACAGAGGAGTGGGGTGTATGGGAATAAGTACATGGGGAAGATACACTAAATAGAAATGGAATAAAAATGGTAAGACTTTTGCAAAGGGAACGACCTAATAATAGGAAACACAATGTGGGAACAACCAATAGAAGACAAATACATGTTTACTGCAGACGAACGAAACACTAAAAGCCTGATAAACTACTTAACATATACACAAGAATTACCAGGGACAATACAAAGAATTAAAACGATAAAAGGAGCAGAAGAGACAGAGACAGATTTAGAATTCGTAAAACTGGAGAACGGAAAAACAGACTGGACCTTAGAAGAAAGATGGATAACTTTCAAAGAGACACTACTGAAGATAACAGAGAAATTATGGGGGAAGAGAAAATACAGTAAACACGTCAAAAGGACGAGGTGGTGGAACAGCGACAAACAAAGGCTGACAAAAGATAAGAAAACAGCATGAAAGCAATATATACAAACAAAACACAGAATGAAATCAAAAGAGCAAAGAAAGAATCCTGGGAGAAAAGATAACAGAAGAACACAGAACAGACTGGAAAATTCTGGACGAGAATAAAAAGATTAAGGGGGGATAAAAGGAAAGAATTAAAAGCAATTAAAAATAAGCAGGGACTAACAGACATAAAAGAAATACTTGAAACATGGAAAGAATTTTACAGAATAAAATATAACATGACAGAGCTAGAAAACACGAACAAACAATAAAGAGAGAAGAAGTCGAAGAGCCAATACAAAAAATCAAAATTCAAAAAGCAAGTGGAGAAGACGGAATTGCACCAGAGATGATTAAATGGCTTTGGGAAAAGGGAATAGAAAACAAAAGGGTACTTTGATATTTTTTACCAGGGATGAAGCTAGGAAAGACCAGTGGCGGTTTCTCAATAAGTGCACATGAGCACGTGCACTCCCAAAAATCATTTTAAAAAAACGAAAACAATAACAATTCTATTTATGTATTTAACATTCTTGCACGTTCGTATCTCGCAATAAAAATAGTTCACTTATCTTATCTGAAATGCAAAACCTAACGGGTACACTGACACACCGCTGAACGTGTATTAAGAATTATTCCGATTCCGCCTTCCCGTGCAGTGCACACTTAGCTAAGATCTCTGATTCGTTCAAACGCTACGTCGCCTTTCTCCGTGCGCGCCGCGAAGGTCCAAGTTGTAAAGTATATCAAGAGCACACTCTCATTGTGAACCAGTATTCGCCGGACTACGAAGTAGGGTTTGTTGATCGTTTCGGTTTTAAAAAGTAACGTTGCGACGTTACCGTTCATTATTTAAAGACAATTATTAAAATTAATTTACTAAAATTAGAAGATCAAATTAAAATAAAAAATGCGGGTCGCCCAAAACCGAGTTTGGAAATATCGAAAATCAATAAAGGAAGTCGATAAACGATCGTTTAAAATAGACATGTATGAAAAAACTGACTGGTTATGCGGTTGTACCTTTAACAATAGTCTATTGTTTTCCGTGTTTGTTGTTTGGTGATGAGCTCGGTGATGAGGCATCAGAATGGACAAAGAAGGGCGTTACAGACTTAGTGCATTTATCCGAAAAAATTTAAAAAATATCAATCTTCAAAGGCACATCATATATCTGCTAAATTGAGATTTAATTTATTAGGTAAGCAAGATATACGGCAACAGTTAAATAGTGCATACCGTTTGAGTATCGAAAAACGTAATGAGAAAGTAAAAAAGAACAGGTATTTTTTATCCAAAAATATAGACCGTATAACATTTTGTGGTGCTTTGGAACTTGCTCTCCGCAGCCATTGACAGAACGAGAAAATTCAATAAACCCTGGTCTCATCAATAAGCTTGCCCGTCGCCCCATTTTTAAATTGTGCACCCCCAAGACATACCACTACGCGCCGCCACTGGGAAAGACCGACGCACTGTTGCAGGACCCTGTATATTAAGAAATATAATAGAAAGAGAGAAGAATAGGGAGCATATCTAACGCATTCATAGATCTAAAAGTATGGAAAACCCCTTGGAGAACTGGAAATAGTTAACAAGTTGATAAACGCAGTAAGAAGTAAGAAGAGCAAAATATCAAATGACATGATCAGAGAAATAGCAAAAAAAATAGAAATAAAACAACTGAACTGGTTCACGGACATAGTTATCATGGAACCAGACAGACTTAATAGAAGAATAATGGAAATGGGAAAACCAAGGAAGAAGCAAAGGGGAAGACCCAGAAGAAAATGGATGAACCAAATCCGAGAAATACTTAGGGATGGAAAGAGGAAATGAAAATCGTAGCAAGTATGACAGGGAAATAATGGATGAATTGGATACATGACAAGAAACCCCCAGCAGACACCTGAAAGGGTACAAGGATTAAAGGAGAAGTAATAGTTGTGTTTAAGAACCCAGTAAATTTACAGTCTTGTGTAATTTGGACAAGCCGTGATTTAAAATGTTCCTGAAAACAACTAATAACTAAATTTTGTGTGTAACTCTAGTGGGATGACAAGCTCATTTCTTTTTGTAAGTGTTAACCCTGGAGTTCTGCGTGACACGTCAGTAGGGATGTATTTTGTATTAATTCATACTGGGCGACCATGTGATTTACACAGCAATATTTTTAACCTTTCTTTAATAATTAAAATGGTTAATTATCTGGCCTATTATAAAATTTATTTTATTTTGCCTTTAATTTTGAATTGGCAGGGTTTCATACCTACAAACATAGATTACTATTTGAAACCTAACTCGGTATAGATTCATACATTTTTTTCATGTCGGTTGGTCGCTGTGACTTTCAAATAGAATGCTTGTACTACTGAGATCCAAAACAGATATGAAAAATTGTCATTCGACTGTTCCTCAAATCAATGAAAAATCAATACATGTTTGCAATCATAGCGTTTTGGTGTAAAGCGATACATAGCTATTTAATTTTAATACTCTCACGGCCAGTTGCATAAAAAAAATAATCCAGGATTATTATTTAATCCGGTATTAAGACATTTGATTGGCTTTATACTGCAGTATGCCGCCAATCAAATGTCAAAATTCTCGTTTAAACTCAGATTTGGCAAATAATCTAGGATTTTGATTATAATTCGCTTTCCTGCAATCGGCCATCAGTCCCAGACAGAAAAAAATTAATAATTGGCGATTTTTTTTCGTTTTTTATGCGATGTGATAAGATGTTTCACATTGCATGCATAGCAGTAAATACTCACCGAATTAACTCTACAGATGACCACACTAAATATAATAAAAACAAAGTTCCTTCTTTATGGAGTCGTGGCTCAGGATCAATCAATAAATTAATTAGAATCAATCGCCCTCCAATTTGAATGAGAGCAGGTAAAATTGCACCACTCCTCCAACCGATTAATACCAGGATTATTTCCGAAAATTGGAGGAAATGCAAATATTTCATTGCAGGTCCGACCACCTCATAGAATTGGGAAAATGAGTCAATACCGTCCTTCAAATATTGTACAGCCAGGACTGCAACTACATAAGTGAAACCAACGAACATCGCCAGATTGTAAATTATGAAGTAAACTTTCTTTAAATCCTCTGCAAAAGTATCAATTTAAAAATGTTCGCGAAAGACAATGGGACACCTTTAGTATAACCAAATTCCTCTTTTTTCAGTCTCTCATAGAGATCGGCGTAGTCGTCACGGATGTCGTGTAACTTTTCATCCTCGCTATTTAAATCATCCTCAGATTGCCATCGATCAAAATCAATTTTCAGCCAACCGGGTTTTTGAGGTTTGCCAGTCAATCGCGGCCACCAACCCTTCTTTGCCTTAACTATGTTACAGTCGATTTTACTGCCCAGGACTTTACACACACTTTCCTAAATGCACAGTGTAAACTAAACATTCAATGAATAACTAAATACAAACATTGGGATTTATTTCTGAACAAAAGTCCAAACAGAATCCGTAATTTTCACTACCATGAGCGCCAACGCCATGTGCTTGAAAATGAAATTTACGTTCTTCAAATTTGATATCTGGGTTCTGGAATTTTGATTACAGTATATTGGGAGCATTAGGTAGATACTCACATTGACGTCTTTCAAATCTATCTTCAGAAACAGAGAATCTTCATTTTGTGCCCAATACACAAATGGATTTAAATGGGGCATTTCTAGAAGGAGCACTTGTGCCGACTATGAACTTTGAATTAAATGCAAACGTTCAAAGTTCAAATGTTAAGTAGCATACATAGAATATGTAAATAATTAGAAATTAATTACATTAATTTAAATTTAATTTAAAGTACGATAGCCTAGTAGAATTAAGGTTCAATTTTGAAATAAATAGCAGTAGGCAACATTCAATTCAACCACAGTAATTTAGGCCGCATTCAAATAAAGTATTCGTAGCGACAATAGACACCATCCGCCATGTTGTGGCAAATTCAAACAGAAACCTTGATTATACGGATGATAAATTGTTTCATGATAATGAATTAAAGGTGATTACCCCTGGCATACTTTAATAATTGAAGATGTTCAACACAGCTAAACTTTGTAATGACACTAAACTGTGGTTTTTCATAATTTTAGCTACTATGGGGAACAAATTAAAGTGCTCAATTCCGGCTAAATTGCGCTCGCATACAGGAGTGTATCCTGCGGTTTAATTTGAATCAACACAGGAAGCCTCACCAGGCCCGGACACCGGAAGGATTGAAAGATTGAGAGCCATTTATTGATTAGTTGGATTCATCTGGTTAATTCCGATAACGAACGAGACCTGTCCTGCTTAATAACCGAAAGAATCGGCGGAGTGGGACGCTCGGCTTTTTCACATGGCCACAACATATATTACAAACTAATAAATAAACGTTGCAACTAATAATTAAAGACGACTTATCGACTCTTATGGAAACAACCAAGAATATAGGAGGCGCTTTCTTTCGGCTACTTCGCGATCATGATTTCAAGATCGTGATTCGTAGGATCACGTTACAAATATTGACTAACCTAACATTTGAGCAAAAATATCCTTGCATTTATAGGTTAGGAATTCGTAATCATAAAACGTTTATGTTCAGTTTGTTCACGATTTTAGCAATCATGATCATGAGATCACACTTCGAAAGAACGTGATTTGACAATCCAAACGCGTTTGAATGGAGCTAAATGAAGTATTCAATGCAGGCCGTGGCTCCGTTTTAAATGCTGATGGAGAAGTAGAAATGGATGCTAGTGTTATGGTGGGTTCTGATTTATCCGCCGGTGCTGTAACCGTTGTAAAGAACATAGAACATCCTATTAGCTTGGCCCGTCTTGTTATGGAAAAAACAGATCATGTTTTACTAGCCGGAGATGGTGCAGAAAGGTTCGCTCGCGAACAAGGCGTTCCACTCTTGCCTTCTGGTTGCTTAGTTACCGATCGGCGAAAGAGGAATTGGGAAAAAGAAAAACTGGAAATCGCCGGAGAGACTGTTGGCGCCCTGGCAATAGACGAGTCAGGTCGTTTAGCTGCAGCGACCTCTACAGGCGGCAGAGCTAGGAAACTAGTCGGTCGTAGCAGTGATACATGTATGATAGGTAGTGGAACATATGCTGACGACAATGTGGGGGCAGTTTCGACAACCGGTCATGGTGAAACCGTGGCTAAATTCTGTTTAGCTCATGCTATTATAAGAGACATGGAGTACGGAAAAACTGCACAGAAGGCAACAACTGATTGTGTTCAGAGAATGACAGAACGTTTACATAACACAGCCGGTGCTATCACCCTTTCCAAAGATGGAGATGTTGGAATTGGGTTTAGCACAGAGCACATGTCATGGGCATACATAAAAGACAATGAATTGCATTATGGGGCAACGCTTAATGATGATAATGTAGATCCCTTATAAGATATCTAGTAAATTAAGAATGTGAGATATCAACAGTTGAACAACAATTATAATCAATAACTTTATATATTGGTCATCACAAAGTATTCTGACAACAATTAGGAATAATTTCTTTTTAAATCAAAAATAATATTGATATAACCAACTGTGTAACCAAATATCATGTTCAATGAATGGGTTTACCATAGTATCTTTGATTCTAAAAATAATTGACAATCCTTTTTTTCCCAGAAAAGCAACAAAAGATGTAATTACTTCGCCGTTTGCAACCGTTTCCGTCAAGATATTTCAATTATCTTTGTTGCGTCCGAAAGTACGAATTAATATTTTAGAATTTCAGTCCCGTTAAGTAATTATTAGATGATTTTGGTTTCCTATGTCAATTTAAAACTAGTATTCAAACTGCAAGGCCATGCAGGTTTGCGCCGGTATCAGTTGATAAGGGACCTGTTCGCCTGACCTGAGAAATTCCATGGGTCAATGGGGGTTAATTAGAAGTATTAGTTTAGAAATTTCATCTCGCCCATTTAAGTGATTATAATTTACAGTAGTTGCTTAAACGAGATTCAGTAAACTGCATTCGATTAAGTTGTGAGGAGTCTCGAAAGAAATGCTCTTAATTTGAATTGTAAGACAAACTATTAAATAAATGATTTAATTGCCACAACCGATCTATTTAGTTACCAGACCAACACCCTGTTTACAACATGAATGTAAATAATAAAATATATGCGATGATTGTGAATTATTACAGAACTGCACTGTTTTTTTTTCTGTTTCAATTGCTCAATAAATTAAATCTTAATAAATTTTGCCACAATCCATAAAACTGGACACAGTATAATAAACAAAAGTGGAACTCTGCACAAGTTTGTCATTCATACATGCAAGATTTCCGATTTAAATTCGTCCAGTCCACGAATGACGTCACGCGGAACTTAAAATTTGAATTTAAATTTTTTACTAAATTCTACTGAAAATATCAACATTTCTTAATTGGTTTAGGGAGAAAAAAAAGTTTTCACGTTAATGTGACCTGCCCATTTACAAGCCAACGCTTTTGAAAATTTCCATCATTCGGGATCCAAAAAAAACATTAAATCACTTGAAAAGTGTTTTAATCCATTAGCTGTAGTACATCCAACCACTGAACACCGCATTTTTTGCAAACTAATTCACCGCGTGACGTCACCTGGCGTTCCCATAACTCCGCCCACATGCGCAATATCATACTATTTATTTCTATCATGATATTACCTACCTATCTAACACCATTGTTAATCTTTTAAGTACAATACTGGTATATGTAGGTACAAATAATAATAAAAATGGTCAGAAATTATGTCATACTTTCATGCTATTACAGATACCTATAATGAAGGTGTATAAATCTACACATTCAGTAATACCTCATAAACAAATAGTCAAATAATAACCGTTCGTGTCCCAAATGGACAAATATGGTGTGTTTATGATAGAAATAATATCTATAGCCTAAAAGTAATTGAAAAAATGAATGGAATAGCTTATACAATATTGATCAAGCTCAAAATTTTGTTAATTACACAGTCACATTCCTCGCTGCTATCATTGGCGACACACAAATCCCATTCGGTGTAATCATCTAGATCGCATTCCGAAGTTACATCATCCACACCTAAAAAAATTGTGCAAAGCACACTTTAAACCAATGCCTGACATTTTTACAATTAAAACATTGTCACCATTGGTTTATTTGTTGGTTTCATCTAGTCTGCTGAAAGCACGCTGCCTTGTGTTCGTTAGCTACTGTCAGTAGCTATCCACAAAACCAAAAAACAAAACACTAACAAGAACTGGGCGAATTGCATACCTTTAGTAAAGACAAATCCCCGATTAACACGAGTCTGCTCAGTTGCAGATATTCGTACAGTCCTAATTTGTCCACCGTAAGTTGCTTTAAACCATTTGATGTCTGTTTTTCGCCGAATGTCGCTCACAATCCATATGGGTTTGGGCACGGCTAAATGAGAACATTCTATTTTATTGTATAACAATATATCAATGCATACCTTCACTACATGCAATTTTACAAAAGTAACTGGGATCTTGGCTCCGTACCTGGTCACTCCATATGATCATTTGCTTCCTATATTCCTCTTTGTACTTGTTAGGACTCATCAACTCTGATAAATCCAGATTGTGTTCTTTCGCATATTGACTTTTGATAGGTTCCGAAATTCTTACGATGGCGCATTTGTCTTCTCCAATCCTGAACAAATTCAATGTTTACCTATTTAAACTGCTACTGTTACACTTACGCCTTTAATAATTTTTCCGATATATAATCTTTTCCAGTTTTTCTTTTGCCACTGAGAAGCACAATTAAATTATTCGACATCATGAGGTAAGTAGTGCGCGGTGTGTATGTAGCCTCTATTGCCGAGCATTTCACTCTAAAATATACCTTATCTTAATAAGTTGCTTAAGATTATAGGAGGTAGAGGTAATTATAACAATTAACACAGTAAAATTTATACAGTTCTCAGCCTTTAATCAGCAAGATAAGAGTTCACCTATGAGGAAGCAACAGAAGTCAAAATTCAACATACTTTTTGAATATTTAACCAATTTTCGTTTTGAAAATGTTCGAAAAACTTAAAACGGTCCAATAGGAAGTGTCTCTGGCTCTGCTAAACTAAAAGATAAGATACGAGATGTATCAGTGGCTAACACCACGCCTAAAGTAATGCTCATGTAAATTGCTCATGTATCAAAGGACCATTTCACCATAGTTTATTCATTAAACAAAGACCTTATCATATTTTAAATACCGTATTGAGACAGAAAATTTATTGGCGTTTTTCAGGCTTCCACCACAAATTAATAGCGCCTGGGTTGACGAAATTGTTTCTTCTTTTTTTTAATAAATGTAATGAAACGTAAACTTTCATTAAAAATTTTAAAGGATTTGGAGAACTGTGTGGGTGCCCTATTTCAACTGATATCATGTGAAGGTTTTTTGCTTTTCCCTTTCAGTAAACTCACTGTATCTTTACGTAGTACCTACTATTCGGTAGCGCTACAACATTTTCTGCTATCTTATTGATCAAACAATGCATTCATTTCTTCACACCGTACAGAGAAACCAGGAAAAATCATGATTAAAAACCAATTGCAACATCTATTACCGTCGACTTTAAGTAATCAAGAATACGCTTACATGAATACGTCCAATGGTTTATACTTGAACTGTACTTACTTTCCGGAAGAAGTAATGACTGTAATTTTGAGTCATATCACTGCGACCCATCTGTTAAAATGCAGAATAGTATGCCGTAAATGGAATGAGATCATCAAATCACATAGTCTATGGAGCTACATTTACGAACGTAACTACCACACAAAAGCCACCAAAAGGTTACCATGGTATTTATATTTTTGCTTATTTTCAACCAATTACTTTAATGTGAATTTGTTAAAAAATGGAAACGGCGAAGAAGGTTTAAGTCATTGGAAGCTAAAGGTATGGGAAGGGGACAATTATGTGGAACAAGTTCCGATATGTGCAAATCCCCTTCCTAGAAATGTACAAGAATTTCATGGGAATGAGAGCTGTCTGGTAACTTCCTACTTTTCTGGTTTCAAATCGCAATTAATTCAACTGCCTAGAAGCGGATTATTTCGATATATCTTGAGCACTTACAAGCCGATGATTTACATAAGTGAATGGACGACAGCTAGGAAAGACTGCAGCTGTGTTTATAAGTTACAATGCAGTTTTATTTTAGAAGACGGTAGTACTGAAGGAAACAGTAGGCCGTTTGCTTGCTATTATAAACCACAATGGCAGGAAGGAAAATGGGAAAAGGTTTGACGCTGTATCTTCGCAGATAGCGTATAGTCTCAGTGTCGATGACCGCGGTACTGGAATAACAGAAAGAATTTGCATTTTTACCAAAAGGTCATCGACGTGGGGACTAAAACAGAAGAAAATTGCGCATGCGTAATGCAAATAGTGACAGTTCTTTGTATCTTCTTAATATAAAATGTAGACATATTATAACTAAATTCGATTAATAAAAAATGTGGTTTTCAGGTGGAACTTTTAATAGTTGATTATCCAGACAACACCACATCACTTCTTTTCGAAAATGAAGGCTGCAATACTCAATCCTGGAAAGGACACTATGGAAGTAAAATGGCAGGTGGGGTGGTTAAATTGCTCTTCGATTCTATACAACTGTTAAATGCTGATAATGACGGGGACATTGTACCACGAAAGTTTACCGGGGTAAAATTTTTATCAAATGGTTTTCCCCAAAATGAAGCTGTAGATTACTTTAAGTGTGATTATATTTGGAGTGATAACAATGAGGAATGTTACTACTTTATGCCTTAACAAGTATTATCTAATAACAAATAATAAACTTATTTTGTGAAAATCTGTTTTATTAATTCCAAACCGCGACCCGCCCTAATAAATAAATGAATTTCATTTTTTCAATATTTTTCCAAACGAAACGAATCAGCACACAAAACCGTAAAACTATGCCCATTTCACCTAATCTCTGTTTTCAAGAATACTACGAACGAAGCTGATGGGTGGAAGGAACACATAAGGAAATGATAAAGGTTGATTCTCACTTAACATAACGTTTCCATAACCATTCCGTAAATTATTATACGTATGAAATTGACCTTTAAGTGATAAGTGCGTAAGACATTTAGCCGCGCGCTAATACACACTCTCCTTTCCGTTCACATATGGAAGGCGAATGTGTATTAGCGCGCGACTTAATGTCTTACGCACATATCACTTAAAGGTCAATTTCGTAGCCTATATAATAATTTACGGAATGGTTATGGAATGGATATGGTATGGAAACGTTATGTATAGTGAGAATCAACCTAAACGGGACCTAGGACGATTTAGCTGGCGTTTGGTGATCGGACTTATAAAGGTTTGTCATCTATTTTTAGCGCAATATAGCAATACGCGATCTCACAGAGTTTTCCCATTTGAATTCAATGGTTCCACAAGTCCCATAAGCTTACAGTTGCATGGATTTTGTAAAATGATATTCAAGTTCCAATATGCGAAGATCGTATTAAAAGTAAACGTTTTATAAAGAATATGTTCATTAATGAAAGAAACAATAACATAAAGCTAGGCATAGATAAATACACTTATATTGTTTCCCTGTAATACGCAAATGTAAAAATCCTAAAATCCTATCAGACTAGCTCATTATGCGTTTAACTAAAATAAGTGCTTTACCGTTTTGGGCACAATGACACAAAGGTTTTATTTCGAATTTACCCTGTATATCAGTACCCATAGTTAGTTCCATTTTACGCATCGATCTTTATGTTGGCAAGTCGTCTTTCACAAAAACAAATATGTCTGATATGAAGTATCAAAATAAATGGCAGAAAACAATTTTTAATTACTTTTCGTAGCTGTTAGGTTTATTTTTTGTTTAAGTTACAATTTTGTGATATACATATGACTGAAATGAATGAAGAAAGTATAATTAAGATGAAGCATTCGATTCCTTTGGATATTTTAAGTGATCTTTTAACGTAGGTGTACCTTGTACCTTTTCATTAAGCTCATCATATTCTTATGTTTTAGGAGGTTTTTAATACACGTTCCGCCCGAGTCGAAGCAAAACCTGATCAGGATATGCTTTCAAATTGAATTGGCACATTGGTATTATTTAGATTTTTATGTGGCTAACGACAGTACCTTGAAAGGTTGCAGTATTACTGAATTTGCGACTCACGTATTTCAGGTAGCTTGTTACACGTGTAATTATCTCATATGATTAATTTAATTGCAGCATATCCCTTCACTGCAACCGTATTGCGATAAGTTAAACGAAATAATGGACGAATGGAGAGTGTACAAACAATCTGTTCCAACCTATGGTGCTATTTTACTGTCAGAAGATTTATCGCACGTTCTGCTTGTACAAAGTTATTTTGCTAAATCGTCGTGGGGATTTCCCAAAGGAAAAGTAAATGAAGAGGAAGATGCCACACACTGTGCCATCCGTGAGGTTTTTGAAGAGACAGGTTTCGATATAACAAACTATATAGATCCTAATTTGTTCCTGGAGTCTATAATCCACGAACAGTTAGTCCGTTTATACGTAATTATGGGTATACCAATGGACACGAAATTTCAGCCAAAGACACGAAATGAAATTAAAGCGTGTGAGTGGTTTTCTATTACCAATTTGCCGAACAATAAAAAGGATGCCACTCCGAAGACGAAAGTTGGTATAAATCGTAATGCTTTCTTTATGGTATGGCCGTTTATAAAGAGAATCAAAGCTATATCTCAAAGCAATATGAAACCAAAACGAAATCGGCAAAAATCAAACAGTACGAGTGAAGGTGAGAGTAGTACAAAGAACAAAATTAACCAAAAATTAGATACTGACGATATGAAGTTCATAAAGAGATCTAAAGAACGGAAAAGCTCTCATTCCAAAAGGCAACTGTTTAACACTGATGATAAGGTAGAATTTAGCGCACCCTCTTGGTTGAATTTTAAGTTTGATAAAACCGCTATTATGGAGTGTATTCCATAATTTTAATTGAAGACTTGCTTGGCAACCGTATTCTGCGTATTACTGTCAAAGTAAAAATATTTTTAATTTGTTGTAGCAAATGATTTTATTCCTTGTTTTGTAATAATATATTGCTTTAGTTTATATTTTTTAGTTTACAAAAATTTGAAAGTATTGTATTTTTTGGTTTGAAAAGATAGTTCACGAGGTTTGAACTAATAAGTACTAAATTTTTATTTCAGTGGATCGTTTGTTACTACGTGCATCTTTATTTTGTTACATTTTCTTGTATTTCTAAAGTAAAATTCATCTTACTCTTGCTATTATTAGTTTCACTTTGACACTCCCATAGATCTCAAATTGGATTGAACAAATGAAACTTCTAGAATTAAATAGAAGGTCTATTTTAAGGAGGCATCACACAAAGAAAAATATGTGATATATTCATGTAAAAATAATTGAAAAGAGCGCTAAAAAATCCAGGTTCTAACCCTCTATGTATGTTGCTGAGAAAAAATTGAAGAGTAAATGCAATTTTTCATATGTCGAAGAATTGTATCACAAAGGGAACGTGAGAAGGAGACATCTATTGGTGATGTCTAAACACAAAGTTTAATTAGTTGCTTTCCACTTGACTCTTAAAGGACAGTTATGTGAAAAAAGGAATAGCATCATTAAATTGGCCCCACTAGTTTCCGCATTCATCGACACCCTGTATATAAATCAATTAATTAATTAATCAATCGAATGAAATATAATAAGAGTCGAAGCTTACAAAAGAAATGACAGCTACACCCTTGACTACACTCCAATTCGTTTCGTTTATGCAGTTAAACCACAATAAATCATCTCCTGAAACTGATATCTATCCTAGGCAAAAATGTGGTAACGATGTAATCCGCTATTTATTTGCCTTTGTTCCGAATTACATTGTTATAGTCGGACAAAAACAAAGTTTACCTACGTCTCCATAAAAATTAGCAATAAATCTCACATTCGTTAGGAATCTGTGTGCTCACAACCATGTATAAATTCAAGATGATGTATTCCCTAATTTAACCGTCAATGCTCACACTGAAACATGAAGTGTTCACTTGCTTGTTCGCATTCAACCCCCTGTAGAAATGGAGGTTTTCCTAGGTTGTTCATAGTTAAGAAGATTGTAAACTTCACTCTGTAGAACTCTGGCAGATGGCGAGTAAAACAGAAATCTGACATTCAGCTGATACACAGTCCAGGGGATCTGGGAAACCATAGAAGATATAACGATGGTTAGATTAGGGAAAAGTTGCGCAATTAAACAGTTATTATTATGGTGTAAAGAAAACCAGAAAATTCCGACTACTTCCAAAGATTTGCTAGAAAAACCGACATTGGCGATTTTGTTTTTATTCTTTCTGACGTTATAATGAACACTTTCTCATTGCCACTTTTTGAACTCTGCAAGACAGCCTTGAGTGATTTTTAATGCAACATTTTGTTTCGTAGAAATCATCAACTATATTTTTTATACGGTCCATACAAAAAGTATTGAAAATCATTTTTTATTGCGAATACAACAATCTACGGCACACAAAAAAACAAAAATTGGAAACTGTTGGTTTCAACAGAATGGTGTACCTGCGCACAACGTCCTAATCGTGGGAGAATAGCTATAGGACATGTTTTCCAAATGTACCAAAATTACCATGGTGCCTACTGTATGATTAGTGATTCTTCAAATTGTTGATATCTGATACAATCATCTTGACTAGAATGTTCATGTTCTACATAGCGCTGGAATCGAACTTTAACATTCCTGTAAGAGATTCTTGAACGGTAGACAATACCGGGGAGGGCAATAAGACCAACTGAGACCACTCCTAGTACAATAATTAATTGACCATTCTACTTCCTATCGAACATTTGGCATCGCTGTCTCTTTTTGTTCTCAAGGAACACAGCGGACGGACGGACAAAGCCATCACATAAGAGAAATTTCTTTCGAAAAATTCGCCTAGAGGTCCTAAAACCTTGACTTTTAAAGAGAGGAGAGAATCTATATAGAAGTGTCTAAATTTCTAAGATATTTTTAAAGATTTTCGTACTCTTGGAAAATGTTTTCGGCCGTTAAAGGCGCATAAAGACTTTTAGAATTTTGTAAAAACTGTTAGTGTTCTTTTAAAAACTCTTAAGGAATCCCAATTAAACTTTGGGAGTATTTTAAGTCTAAAAGCATTTAGGAAAATCTGTATACACTCTTAGATGTTTTTAAAACACTTAGAAACTCTTGAAAATCGAAAATGCGCTTAAAGACTCTGAAACTTACTTGGATATCTTTATGGCTCATAAGGAGTTATAAAAGCTCTTCAAGATTTAGCTGTTAAAAGCTCTTAAAGACTTTCAAACGTTTTTATGTGCATGTTAGAGGTTCTAAGGACCAAAAAGCTGTGAATGTAAAAATTCCTGGAGAAAAGCAAGTGCTGACTCGTGAAGGCACAAATATTCTTAAAGATCAAGTAGTCTTTAGGACTAGGTGCAAAATCAACACAGTAAATATTTTGAAATCTGTTGAAGTAATTTTATGATGGGCGAACGGACAGAGAAAATCATCGCAATAGGGCATCTAATGTTGGACAATGGGGTATAAAGTGTTTATTGAATTAAGTATGTCTTGATGCTATTGTACACAGATAACAGACTTTTAAAAGGAGTTGGTGTCTGTAAAGTAGCGGCGATTAATGGCATTTTTCAATTTTGGCAAATATATGTCGAAAACTGAAAATTGTTGGAATAGACTAAGTAGGCAAAGTGCCCTTTATTTTGTACTTATAATGAAGCATAGTTATAAATATAGGGGATTGCCATAAAAAAAATTTTAGCGAATTTTTATAACCAAAATATAAATATAGCACAGTCCTCTAAAGGCGAAACTTTGCTTAAAAAAACCAGGCCCAAATAAATAATAACAGCTTTCATATGGAAGACTTGGCAGTTATGAGTTGAGCTCATTTTTGACATAACAATTCAAATAAATTTAGGTAGGTACTTACCTACAGGACATAGGTGTAAGAGGTGTAGATATACAGAATTTAAAAATAAGACAATATTCCGAGGTCTCCTTTTTGATGTACAAGTATAGATAGTCGGCATTCATTGTGGAACAGCTTGTAGGTATACCAGATTTAAAGACAACCACACGAGTTCAAGCGAACTACCTGTATTTAAAAATAAAGCGTAGTAGCCATGTTTTATAAATAAATACAATTTTCTTACACAGGGTGAGAAGGCACAAATAATTTGCGAGGGGTATAATATGCCCCCCTAGGCCCACCGTTCGTTACGTGCTTGAACGCGGGAGAATATATTTTCAAATGTGTCTGTTTGTGCATCGAACTTTACTGCACCAACGTTTGGTGCTTTTACAAAAATAATTATGGCATATTTATGGCACCCTGTTTGTTTACTTTCGCTTAGTTCTGCAATACTTACTGATTTTTTTGATAACTTTTAGTCTGCTTTAATTGTGTTGTGTAATACAGACTTCGGTTGTGGCAGGGGAAGTTGTAATTTTCGACAGTTTTATGTAGTAGTGTGCGATTGTACGCCCGTGCGAAGGTTTATAATGGCGGCTCCATTGACAGCAGAGCAAGAAGTTGTAAGTTTTTCTTTCAATACTATCACTAATCGCGTTTAATTCTCATTTCTCTTGTAAGTGCCGGCTAACGTCTCATGTCACGTAGGCAGTGCAACACCCATACATGTTAAAAAAGTTAAAACTCCAGCAGTTGCTTACATCGGAAAACAAATCATATACGTTTTACAGGCACAGCCTACGCAATTTTCAAATCTAAAATATTTCGTGAGACAATCGCATGTTAAAAAAACAATTGCACATGCACAGGTAAATAGCTGTTGGACACGGCAAGTTTCCCGCGTAAACAGATCGATTTGTTTTTATACAGAGCTATTGACTACCTGTAGATTAAGTCCGAGATACCAGCCAAAATTAACGCCGAATTGTTCAGTAAAAGAAACACTATATTTATCTGATTGCTGTACTTAAAGCATGTAATTACCTAGTTAGATAAGACTAAAAGTAGTATAAAATAAACTACATTGTGAGTTGTGTATCAACCGCAAGCAGGAAACCATGAAGGTTTTTGGACACGTTTTTCTTTTTATCTCGATTTTCATATTTTCTAGATATTGAGAGTTGAAGGAATTTCGTGGAAAATTATCTGATCTGGTCCAACACCGGTAGTTGGATGGTATGACATCCAGAAAGATATTCTTGGTAATTTACCATGGTGAACAGTGTTTTCAACCCACATTTACTTTATACTTACTGTAAATTCATGCTCTTCAAAAGACGTTCTCCAAAAAAAAGCGACAGCTTTACTATAACCGAGGGATAAACATCTAACGACGTATATTACAGTGGGGTAAAATCTTGGTGAAAATTATCTAATTCCATAAGGTTTTGTTTAACCATTTTTACACAGTTTGAGTACCTACATTAAAATAATAGAAAGCGGAAGAAAATTGAGTGACCTCGAACATTTTATTCATTTATATTCACTTGACTTTTGATCCTAAAGCTCACTATGGTCTATGGAGCTACTTTTTCCGACTATTAATGGAAGAGGTGAACCATTCGATGTAAGTCAGGAAAAACTTTTATAACAAAAAAACCTCGAAAAAAACTATATATAAAAAGTTATAATATTGATTCAAGTGGCAACGTAATTTCTTTTTAACTCAAGAAAATGTATCTTAATTGCGTTTTGTGGTGGTTAAATGTACGAAATGTTGGTGTTAATATCTCTCGTATCTCACCTTTTTGATAATGGGGGTTTACAGTATAGTTGAATTCCGCAGTTCTAATTTACTAAGCGTGTACCTGAAACCATAAAACATATTTTTGGACAGTAAAAGTTTCTTTAAAAATAGAGGCAGATTAGCAAAAAAATAATGAACATGTGCGGTTTTAAAGGTTTATTCAAAACGATATGATTGTGGCGGGCTCTGTGACGTAATAAGCCCGACCAATCAGCTCCTAGATTTATAACTTGCGTCATCTGTCACAGGCACTTGTCACTTTCGTGCTAGATGCAGTTAAACATCCCTCTCAAAACGTCAAATGTGACAAACGTCAGACCCTCGCGTAAGGTTGCCAGCTCATTTCTACGTGATTGGTTGTAGGTTTGTGACGTATTTAGTCTGAAGCGTTTCAAATTCGGACTAAAAACACAGCTTTTCAATAATTTATTTTGGGTTTATTTTACTCGCAAATAAAAATTGAGGACACACGGGTCTTTTTATTTTTAATGTACTTTGTGAATCAGAAATAAAAAATGAAGGCGGGATGACCCCATTTCATGTCATATTTAATCAATCCCTTCAGAACCCCCCCCCCCTCCATATTGGAATTTAAAACGTTGTGTTACGATCATCTGTCTAACTGCCTACCACCATTGGAATCTCGGAAACGGTGAGAGATATAGTGTAACATTACATGGGGGCAAAGCGAGGGGCAAAGTTGCCCCTTTTTGTGACTAAAAAAACCTCGAAAAAAACGTTTTGAAATATGAAAATATCGGAGATATCACCGAAAAAACTGAAAATGTCAAAACTTCAATGGGCACTTTTATTTGCGAAAAGTCTATTATCAGCATTTCCATAGCACGCTAGATGTAGAAGCTACGGGCTACTACCAGGGGCGTACATGGTACATGGCGCCTAACGAGAAAAAATGGTGTAAGTACTGGCACTGTCATCCATAGCTTTCTAGACTGGTGCTGTTTCTATGAGTATTACCGAAGTAAGATGGTACGTTTCTATTTAAAACATTTCAAACAAAAAGTTAAGGTCATTCTCGACTAAACTTGAAGTCGAACAAAGAAGGCATTGCAAGTATTAAATGCATATTTGTTATAAAAGCACAAATTATTTAAAAAAATACATCATAAAAAAACGGAGATTGATCGTCTGTGTAATTAATCACTAAATAAATTTGAATATGATGTAGTATACCAGTTATCATAAAAAAGAAATGCTATTGTTGAAGAAGTGTGTACATAAGTTTAGAGAAGAGTGAACTATGGTATGATCAATATAGAGGGCGTAGCAGGTAATTAAGTTGAAAGTAAATCGGAACCCAAAATGTTTTTTTACAAATAAAAGGATTGACGACGTTTCCTCTGAAAACAACCCACCAAAAGTGCGAAAAACAGGAACATATTTTTTCAGTATGCAATTTGAGTGTGCAATTTTGTTTTTTTTTTTGATTTTTTGAAAAATACCTTCCCCTTTCTCGAACAAAGGTGCGTAGAAAAGCATTTGAAAACTCGAAAAAAGAATATTCTCACTGTAGTTTTTGGAAGAACAACAAAAAGCAAAACTAGAAGATTGCACAAATTCAGAATGACCCTATAATTTCTTATATTTTAATGGAAAGCATAATATTAAATTCTCTTTTCAAAAATCTTTTTGAAATTTTTGTAAACCATTCTTGAATGTTTTTTGAATTACTTTTTGAATATTATCCTTTGTTTTTTTTTTGAAAAGAGAATTTAATATACTATCATATAAGATCAAAATATACAGGGTATTCTATTAAAAAGGTGAGGTTAAGTCTGATAACTTTTTTACCTGATCCCGTACCTATACTTTTGAAAACTGTAGATTACTCAACAATAATTATTATGAAAAATATAATAAACATTTTTCTATATCTCTTTTAACTAAGTAAATGTAGGGTCATTCTGAAATTGACAATTTTTTTTATTTTACCATTTTAAGTTTGGCCCAAAACGAGCACATGACCACTAATAATTACCGAGGTGTCCTATAAAAGTGTCACAAAATTCTAAAATGAAGGTTTTCCAGTAGCTGTCCCGTTATATGTATTATCATTTTAGTCAAGGAAAACGTTCATTTGTGGGGGAGTGCAATTTGGCACCACTTACCGTCTTTACAATTTTAATTAAAATAAAATTTAAATAAAAGATTCTTAAACCGCAGAATTTCTTAAAATTTAAATGTCATGTTTTTTTATCATGGGTTTTTTTCAGGGTACTTAATCTCTCAGAACTATTTTGTGTGCAAGCGGTACTAGGAGCAATATTTAAGAAATTAGGTACCTTTAGAACACATTTCTTTAACTATAATAAATAATACAGCTAACAGGACTTTACTAGAAATGTATCTTGAATTGTAGACATAAATATGGGCGCAATTGGAACTAGCAAATTGTCAATTTTCGGAAATGGGCAGGGGTTCGGTTCTGCATTGCCACCGCGTGCTGGAAATTTTTATTTTGGGCATAAATTGAATACTTTCAAAAAACGAGGTGGTATCTCATTTCTTAAACTTCGATTGTGTGAACTTTTACTAAAATTCGCGTAGAAGAAGTTTCTTTATTTGCGATAATAATGTGCTAATTTTAAATAGGTACACATTAAAGTAGAGTTTTTTTTCTGGCGGAATCTTTCTATTTTTCGTTGTGATGCCAAGAAACGCAGTTGCATTTGGAAAAGTAATTTTGATATTTTAAAATTCAAAGATCCCCAGATGTCAATATTGTGCTCACAAATATCGCAGAAATAATGTATTTTAGGAATTCGAGTTTTGTTTTAAACTATGTACTACATTCAAAACAGTAAACAGTACGCAGTGTCGATTGCATTTTCCACATACAGGGTGTTCCAAAATTCTATACCAAGATTTTAAGAGTGTACTAACAAAGTCAAAATAAGACTTTTTTCCAGTGAATATGCATGCTGTCAAACGTGTGCACCCCTCAATCCCTCCAAATTAGGTTTAGGCCTTCTAGAGTCAAAAAATTAATAGACTACCTACCCAAAAAATCGACTCTATGGAAATTTACCCTGTATACGTTTTTAATTGCATTTAATGAGAGGGGGTGCACCGAGGGGCGCACCTTTGGTTTATTAAATTAATTTGGTGGTATCATTTTTGCCATTTCATTAAAAACACCCTGTAAATTGGTCTTAATTATAAATGAGTTTCAAATGGTCGCTTCTGTTTGCATGGAAATGGATGCGGCGTCTTTTCTTTCTGTTTGTATCATTTTGTCTATGTCATAATAGAAGTTTTCTGAATAAAATGAAAGCAGCTTTTCAGTGCAACTTTACATTACATTGAAAATAAGCCCATAAGCCCAATTCTTTTAAAGTGTGTCATGGAAAATAAATGAATAGAGAGTGTAATTACGGAACTCTATTCAAGTTCCTTTTGTAGGCTTTATAGACAAAAACGGTCGAAATTCGCGTGGTTTACCACCTGCGCAATTATCTACTTATGCGAAATTCTGTTGCGGTTTTCATGATATCATAATTCTAGGATTAAAAATACAGACTGCGTTCATTCATTAAATAACAGTTTTTACAAATTCTTAAAAGTGACCGAATGATCACCATTTCCGCACCGTTTTCAAAGTCGCAGCGAAAATTTTATTTTTTCGAAAGGTCGACTATTTTAGCACATACCTACTGAATCACTACCTAATTATGTTAATAATTAATGGTCAGCGTCAGAGATGAGCCAGATAATTTCATTCTAATATCGGATTAAACATAATGTTGTCGGCTGGGTCCGTTCAAAACACGAAAAACTAGACAAATTATCATTTTG